TCATTCTAGACTGAATTGTCTGCGCAAGATTATTTCTTTGCCATAACCGACTTCTAACCTATCTCCCACAGAACCTCTATCCATTTGCTCTCAGTCTTCCAGTAGTGCCAGGCTCTGATGGCGCCGGTGAAGTTATTGAAGTGGGGTCCAAGGTTGTTGAATTCAAAAAGGGCGACCATGTTGCTACTCTCTTCAATCAGGGCCACCAATATGGTGAGATTGATACATACGCAGCGGGTACTGGCCTGGGTGGTGTAATCGACGGTACCCTGCGCGAATATGGCGTATTCAATGAACAGGGTCTTGTGAAGGCGCCGAAAAACCTCGATGCCCGCGAAGCTAGCACCTTGCCATGCGCGGCGCTCACCAGCTGGAATGCACTATACGGTCTGAAGCCTCTGAAGCCCGGTCAGATCGTTCTCGTGCAAGGAACTGGTGGTGTCAGTATGTTTGGGTTGCAGGTTAGTACCGAAACTCTTATACACTTCATCAGAATGGACTCGGTTAACGCAGCCTTATAGTTCGCCAAAGCTGCTGGCGCGACAGTTATTGCCACAACCTCTTCCGCAGAGAAGGCTGAGAAGCTCAAGAAGCTCGGTGCCGATCACGTTATCAATTACAAGACTGAGCCCAACTGGGGTGAGGCTGCTCGCAAGCTGACTCCTGACGGAGCTGGCGTAGACCACGTTATCGAGGTGGGTGGTAGCGGAACGCTCCAGCAGAGCTTCAAGTGCGTGAAGTTCGAGGGTATCATCAGTGTTATTGGGTTCCTTGGAGGCGTGGACCCGAAGACACAGCCGACTGTTTTGGAGACATTGAATCACATCTGCACTGTGCGAGGTGTTTATGTTGGTAGCAAAGCTCTCATGAGGGATATGATCCGAGCCATCGAGGCCAATGATATCCACCCTGTGGTGGATGAGAAGGTGTTTAGCCTTGACAAAACACGGGAAGCCTATGATTATATGGTAAGTTGATTTTTATCAGTGAAGAGGGATTGCATGCTAACAGATTGGAACCCAGTGGGCCCAGAAGCACTTTGGAAAGTTGACTATCAAGATCAACTAAAAAATGGGACGGGAAGAGGCTAGGGAGCAGCGTGAATGTAATATGTGTGTTGCTGGCATGTGTTGGAACTAAGTACCTTCCAAGGTTGGAAATTGCAAGTTAAAAGGAAGTGCAACCTAATACTAGTGGGTTCCCAACAGCAGGTGGCCTAGTGGTAACAGGATGCACCTGTGTACTACGAGGGAAGTGCCTAAGATCTTCCACCACCTGGTCTGTTCCGGTTCGATTCCAATCGTTCTCGCGTTGAATCCCCTCTTTTTTTTCTCTTCATTGGTTGAAGCTGTAAATCTTCCAAATAAACAATGATTTAAGGTTTGATAGTGGGACCTGCCATATTCAAAACCATCCCAGGGTCTATATTGAAGGTTTCTTTTTTGAAGTGTTTAGGTAGTTTTTGAGAATGTAGATAAGTCGATATCACAACTTTGGAACTAGTATTTCGTACTATGTTGATGTTTGGTGTTGAGGTGAGGTCATTCTGGTTGGGAGACAGGGAACCTGCCCACTTACCCAGGTAGCTTCCCCGCCACTTCCTCCTGCAGGAGTTAAAACCAACCACCTGCCAGCTTCTCTCTCTCTGTTACACTGAAGCATACAAATTTTCTATAGTCTTTGAAATATTTCATAAATAAACCTTTTTTGTCACTTATTTCCCGCTACTGGGCCAGACACCTGATTCAACACCCCGCCTTTCTCCAATGCAGGTCAACAATAGAGATACCTCAACCCTCCCAATTCAGGGCCCCAGCCAAAGCGCTCGAAAGCCCCAAGCATCATTTGTTAGTCCAGCTCAGATGGCCATGTTTGCACGGGTGACATCCTATCCCCCGCTGGGACAAATCACTTGTCTCCAACCAGAGCAGAAGGCATTACGGTCTGAAGAAGATGCGGTGAGTCTCTCAATATCATCATCTCTGATGTTGCCAACGACAATTTCCTATATTTATTGAAGCTAGAATGCAAAGACATACTAACATTACCGAAGCTGCGTTTCACGGTTACCATCGAGTCCAGCAGCTCATTCCCCGCACAGCCATGGGAAGCGCAGATCTGGCATAACATCACTAGCCCCGAATGGGAATCTCTGCCATTGAAGAAATGTGACACAGATCATGCAGCTCTTTTAACCGGAAGTGATAACGACTGCAACTACCGTCGCTATGTATTCTCAGAAGAGATATCCCTGCCAGCCGCAGGAGGTCATGCCCAGTTCACTATCCGGTTCCGAACTGGACCAGATACCGAATGGCAATGGGCTAACCAAAGACACCCTGTCAGTGACGGTGAAATTGTATATAACGCACGCCACTCTGATCTCAACAAGGCTGTGTCCACTGATGCCGCTGCACCCGCTCCTAAAGAGCAACTGTCGAAGTACATTGATAATCTTCATGATGACTTGCAAATTGAGTCACGGCATAGTGAAGCTCCTGGATCGGTCCTTTGGGCACTTTTGGGTGATACAGATGCTGCTCAGAATGGATCTTCAAGCATCAAACGACTTGCGCTTGGCACCCCTTCGTCGGTGGTGAGGTATTTCTCACTAGTACGTGTTTCAAGCCCATGGCTGGGTCCTAGACATGGCAAAAAAAGCTTTCAACTTACCGAGGACGCAATATTTTGCTCCTTTCTGCGCGAAGATGGCGTGAATCTTGTTCTACTGGCTGTTTCCGGAGTCAACGATATTTTGACAGTGTTCCAGTCAGGCGAGAACGGTGAAGTTGTGATCTCCGCAAAGAGTGATGATTCAGAAGCATCAAGGTTCCATGTACTTGTCAGCACCGCAGAAAATTTCGAGGTTGCCATGTCTGCAGTAGTTTATGAGGCACGGAAGGTGGTCAGGCCATTTGCTGATGCGGCTCATCTGGATTTGGAAGATTCGGTCCCATTGTCTCCCCCTGATGATGATATGGTTCTTGTCGAAAAAGACCCAAGTGCACAGTGGCTGTCCGAGTGGTTTGACGGCCTCACATATTGTACTTGGAATGGACTAGGACAGGACCTCAGTGAAGAGAAGATCTTGCATGCCTTGGACTCATTGAAGGCGAATGGGATCAGCATCGTCAATCTTATTATCGATGATGGCTGGCAGACAAACGACAATGAAGGGGAGTCTCAGTTTAGGCAAGGTTGGAAGCAGTTCGAGGCACATCCCAAAGGATTTCCTAAAGGATTGAAGCATACCGTGGAAGGTATTCGCCAAGCACATCCGAATATTGAACATGTTGCGGTCTGGCACGCCTTGCTGGGCTACTGGGGAGGTATTTCACCAGATGGAGATCTGGCTCAAAGATTTAAAACAAAGCAAGTGAAGATCAAAGATCCCGCCGCTAATGGGCCCATGGCGGAGAACCTTCCAGATGGAACAATCCTTGCCATTGATCCCGATGATATTAAAAGATTCTACAACGAGTTCTACAGCTACCTGACGTCTGTTGGTATCGACTCGGTCAAGACCGATGCACAATTCTTTCTCGACCTCCTCGAGGATCCAGCTGACCGGCGGAGATTCATGACCTCTTACCAAGATGCATGGTCTATCGCATCACTCCAGCACTTCAGCACTCGGTCAATCTCATGCGGGTCAATGACCCCTCAGATTATCTTTCATTCACAAATGCCCACCAACAAACCGACACTTCCGTTGCGAAATTCCGACGACTTCTTTCCAGATGTTGTTACCTCTCACCCGTGGCATGTATTCTGCAATGCTCACAATGCACTATTCACCAGATATCTGAACGTATTGCCAGACTGGGATATGTTCCAGACAAGTCACGCATACGCATCATTCCACGCCGCATCACGATGTGTATCCGGAGGACCAATTTATATCACTGATGAACCAGGCAAACATGACTTGGCCCTGCTCAATCAGATGACTGCACCTACCGTAAAAGGAATCACGGTGATCCTGCGTCCTAGTGTTATTGGACGCACGATAGACATATACCATGATTATAATGAAGGACATGTTCTGCGCGTTGGAAGTTACACCGGCTGGGCCAAGACCGGAAGTGGAATTTTGGGCCTTTTCAATATTCAATCTGCCGAGGCGTCGAGCATAGTCTCACTGATGGATTTCCCAGGAATTCACGACGACTCCGAAGGCCAGTATATCGTGCGTGCACACAGCAGCGGTAAGATCTCGCACCGCATGCGGCCCACCAGGGACTCCTTGGTATCACTTGTTCTGGAGCCAAAGGGCTGGGAGATTCTCACTGCGTACCCGACTCGGTCGTTCAAGCTGGGGGGAAGCCACGGCAACAATGTCAGTCCGACACACGTGGCTGTGCTGGGCCTTTTAGGAAAGATGACTGGCGCAGCTGCTGTAGTGACTTCGGATATATCTGTTGTTGAGAACGGCCGGTTGCGAGTCGATATCAGCTTGAAAGCCTTGGGGACTCTGGGGATCTATTTTTCAGATCTTCAAGACAGGAGCATTGCACGGAATTTCATGGTCATGATTCTGGGCCAGCCAGTTCCACAAAAAACAGTGTGGAAGGAGGGCGGAGAGAATGCTAATGTGCTGGCAATTGATGTATTGGCGGCATGGAAATCTATGAAGTTGGACAGTGGATGGAGTAACGAGGCCTTTGTACAGGTTTTCATGGGTTGAGGTAACACCTCAAAGCCAGTCGTGTTTGGACATTACTACCGTGTTTTTATTGATAGAGATAGTATTATTCCAACACAGCATCCTTTTTGCAACGGACCCCAGCCAATATATACTTCTTTGGCCCTAAGCCCTTGGTGATGTCCCGATTGGGAAATCGATCAACATGTCAGAGATAAGGCCCGCATTATTAATGTTCCGGACTTATCGAAAGAATCTCGGACATCTGGAGCTAGCCCTGGAGGTATTGATCGTGTCCAGATTTAAGTCCATTGCGACCCATTTTTATTAAAATTCGCATTCTCAAACCGGTCCAATGCGGCCACAGTCGGCATCGCTCGGCCAAGTGCCATACCGCAGCCTTTTCAACCCCCGTCGGATCCCGTGCGGAGCGCGCAGTTTTGCCGCAACAACAGCTATTCCGCTGCGCGGTGATAGCACTCGGCCTGTATTGTCCGCTTCGCAGTCTGGGACATGCTTCCGGCAGCAGAGATGGATTACACAAAAGTATATTCAGCGTATGAAAGACGGTGAGAAGGAGTGGGCAGGGTTTGCGAAAGAAATCAAGGCCGGGAACCGCAAGAACTTCGCGCAACACTTGGAGGAGCGAGGCTTGATTCATGATGTTGTCGGGTATGTTACACCGGGATATAACGAATTTATGGCGTTTGCCGCTGGAAATTGTTTGAATGACTCGCTAATCGTTTCCTTTGGATTACAGCGAACGGGACTTGTTGCATAAGGTCTTCACTGAAAAGCGCGCTGGAATATACGTTGGAATTGACCCAACTGCCCCCTCAATGCACGTTGGACACATGCTTCCTTTCATGGTTCTCGCCTGGGGATACGTCTGGGGTTTACCTGTGACATTCCTAGTAAGTTGCCTCCAACACCACGACCTCATTGAATACCTCAACTAACACCCTATAGCTTGGCGGTGCTACCTCTAGAATCGGCGATCCCAGCGGGCGCCTCAAGGGGCGAGACGCTGTCCATTCTTCAATCCGAAAGGCAAATATGGCTAGCATGCACATGCAATTGAAGAAGTTGGGCTCCAGCATTGAGCAGTACGGCAGGAGACACGGACATGAGAGACAACCGATGTGGAAGCGGGCATTGGAGAACAATAACACTTGGTGGAACTCGATGCCTTTCCTTGAAGTGCTGCGAGACCTCGGCGCTTTCATGCGACTTGGTCCTATGCTCGGCAGAGATACGTGAGATTAAGCAGGTCTGACGATGTTGTTGCGGGTATACTGACGATTTTTGAACAGTGTCAAGACACGGTTGAACCAAGGCGATGGCATGTCATTCGCCGAATTTTCCTACCCTATTCTCCAGGCCTGGGATTGGTGGACGTTGTTCCAGAAGGGCACGCAAATCCAGGTCGGAGGTGCCGATCAATACGGAAACATCCTGTTTGGCATGGAGGCTGTCAAGTCTATCAGCCGAAACACTGCCGACGAACAAGTCCGCAACCCATTAGAGTCAGAACTAGATCGGCCGATCGGTTTCACTACGCCACTACTGACAACTGCGTCCGGCGAGAAGCTTGGCAAATCTGCTGGAAACGCTGTTTGGCTTGACAAGGACCTGACTTCTACATTCGAACTTTACCAGTACTTTGTGCGCACGCCTGACGATGTTGTCGAGCAGTACCTCAAGCTGTTTACTTTTATTCCCTTGCCTGAAATCGCCACCATCATGGAGGAGCAGAACAAGGATCCATCTAAGCGCGTTGCGCAGCACAAGCTCGCCCTTGAGTTTGTTGAGCTTATTCATGGCAAGACCGAAGCTGATGCCGTGGCTCTTCAACACCGTCAGCTTTTCCGTCCCCGATCCTCAACTGCAGAGCCCACCCCTCTTCTCAAGTCATCCGCTCCTCAAACTGGTCACCCGCAATCTCCCACCGCTGGCTTCCAGACTCCTCAATCTGGGAACCCGTATGCTCCTCAAACAAACTGGGCCAACATGGGCGATATCAAGGTCACCCTCCCCGAATCCCTAGTCTTCAACCAGCCCTTCAACAAGATTCTGTGGTCGGCCGGCCTTGTTTCATCCAAGAGCGAGGGCCACCGAGTCATCATAAACAACGGCGCCAAGGTTGGAAGCCGTCCTGGTGACAGTGGTCCCATGTCGGACCAATTGTCCTTCACGCCTATCCGGCCGTGGGAGGCAGACAAGACGAAGGAGTTTGTCCTGAATGGTAATCTCCTGATGCTGAAGTTGGGCAAATGGAAGCTCAAGGCCGTTCACATTGTGCCCGACGAAGAGTACCGCGCACTAGGGCTCACAGCTCCTGGATGGGAGACTGAGCCCGCTGAGTCCACCGAGTCCGCTGAGCCAGCCGAGCCGACCAAGTCGGAGTAGGGCGCATCTCCACTAGATCTGTAATTCTACAATATCCAATCTGTACAATAGTATAAATATTATATCCTCACCCCTTCAGACAAACAAAATCCAAGTAACAAGTACTTCGTAGTGAGGTAAGACAATGTTGCGGGTGTCGATCAATTGATAGGTCGAGTCTCGGAGAAACCTTGGAAGTGCTTTACGCGTCGACGCGATCCGCGCCTTATCTCCACCCTGTCCCCGATTCTCTCACAACTCCCCTAATTACCATGTTGAGTTGAGAGTGTATTGCCATTTAGTCTCAATTGCTTATATTCTATAAAAACAAAATATGGCCAAACCATCGGCCTCATCTCCGTCTGCCGCGTCATCGCCCGCGCTCAAGCGCGCAACTCCCAGCACCCAGAACATGCGCACCCAGAAGTCGATTCTTGGTTTCTTCCAAAAGTCCTCACCAGCGACTCCCTCGAGTAATCGGACGCGAGAACCCGCATCATCCCCCGCGCAGAGAGCTTCAGAGAAGCGTAGTGAGAACGCTGTCAAGCCCACACCAAAGGAACAAAAGCGAAGCTTCTCAAGTTTTGCGCAGGATTTGAGTCCTGTACCTAGCAGTGATCTCCCAGTACCAGAGGAGGAAGAGGATAATGGCAGTGACTTAAAGGTATATCAATCCGGTGTGTCCTGCTTGTTTGTTCCTTCACTCTGACTGAACTCTTCTCTCCTTAGACCACCAAAGAGGCACAGCAGGACTCTACCATGTCGCCGTCGCGTCGAGTACGTGTAATACTTTATTGCTCAATTGATCTATCCCACTGACTTGTTTTCCTAGGGAAAAAAGAAGGTCAGCTACAAGGAGTCTGACTCCGAGGGCGAGGACGACGACGAGGTTATCTTCCGTCCTAACCGCAAGGACCGTGTCTCCGGCCGTGCAGCCAAGAGAAGACGAACTGAGCCGGAAAGCGAAGATGAATTCAATGATGCAGGGGATGGAGGATACTCGGACGATGGTACGGTATTCTATCGCTGGTTGGTTTTGTTGGCACATGACTAACCTGGATGTAGAAATGGACGATTTCGTTGTTGCAGATGACTCTGATGAAGAGATAGCCGCATCTTCTAACAAGCGGAAACGACCATCCACACAATCGGCACGCAAGCCTACCTCCAAATCTTCCTCCGTTCCCGCCCCTCCTCCACCCGACAATGACATCGACCTTGATCTCCCGGAGGGAGAAGGTTCAGCTGGAACCGCGAAGAAATGGGCGTTTGATCCGGAGAACACAGAACCTAGGAAAGAAAGACCTGCTGTGGCGTCTTCCAAGACAGCATCCAGCGCAAGAAAAGAAAAGGCCCATGTCAAGGAGCCTGAACAGCGCTACTCATGGCTTGCTAATCTCAAAGACATCGACGGCAACCCCCAGGGCCACCCTGACTACGATCCCCGAACCGTCTACATCCCTCCGCTCGCATGGTCCAGATTCTCGCCTTTCGAAAAGCAATACTGGGAGATCAAGCAGAAATTCTGGGACACTGTCGTTTTCTTCAAGAAGGGCAAGTTCTATGAGCTCTACGAGAATGATGCCACTATTGGTCACCAACTTTTCGATCTGAAGCTCACGGACAGAGTGAACATGCGCATGGTCGGTGTTCCCGAGATGAGTTTAGATCACTGGGCGAACCAGTTCGTGGCCAAGGGTTTCAAGATTGCTCGTGTGGACCAATCTGAATCCGCGCTGGGCAAAGAAATGCGTGAGAGAGAGGGAAAGAAGCCCACCAAAGAAGACAAGATCATCAAGCGAGAGCTTGCATGTGTGCTTACTGCGGGTACACTGGTGGAGGGTTCCATGCTTCAGGATGATATGTCTACATATTGTGTTGCGATAAAGGAAGCGATTGTGGACGAGCATCCCGCATTCGGTATTGCATTTGTCGACACTGCTACGGGTCAATTCTTCTTGTCTGAGTTTGTGGACGATGTTGACATGACCAAATTCGAAACTTTTGTCGCGCAGACTCGTCCTCGGGAGTTACTGCTGGAGAAATCTTGCGTTTCACAAAAGGCCATGCGCATTCTAAAAAATAACACCGGGCCCACCACTATCTGGAATTTCATGAAGCCTGGTAAGGAGTTCTGGGAATCTGACATCACAATTCGAGAGCTTGAGGCAAGCGAGTACTTCGTCTCGGCGGATGATGATAATCTCACAGCCTGGCCCGAGACCCTACGTCAAGCTCGCGAGAAGGAGTTACTGATGTGTGCATTCGGTGCTTTGGTTCAATATCTGCGAATGCTGAAGATTGAGCGGGACTTGATCACCATTGGCAACTTTACGTGGTACGATCCCATCAAGAAGGCTACGAGTCTTGTACTGGATGGCCAAACCCTGATCAACATGGAGATCTTCGCCAATTCATTCGATGGCGGGTCTGAGGGCACTCTATTCCAGTTGCTCAACCGATGCATCACGCCCTTCGGCAAGCGCATGTTCAAGCAGTGGGTATGCCACCCATTAATTGATTCAAAGAAAATCAACGCGAGACTGGATGCTGTTGATTCACTCAACGCCGATCCCACTGCCCGGGACCAGTTTTCCTCCCAGTTGACAAAGATGCCGGATCTCGAGCGACTGATCTCTCGTATCCATGCTGGCAACTGCAAGGCTCAGGACTTCGTGCGTGTTCTGGAAGGATTCGAACAGATCGACTATATCATGGGTCTGCTCAAGGAAAGTGACACCGGCTCAGGCGATAGCATCATTGGTCAATTGACAACCGCGATGCCCGATCTTGCCTCTCTGCTGGGATACTGGAAGACCGCATTCGATCGTCCAAAGGCAAAGGAGAATGGCATCCTTGTTCCAGAGTCCGGTGTCGAAGAAGACTTCGATAACTCCCAAGAGATCATTGAGCAACTCCATCGGGACCTTGACACCCTGCTGAAGAAAGCTCGCCGGGATTTGGGGTCATCTGCCATCTGCTACAGGGATAACGGCAAGGAAATCTACCAACTGGAAGTTCCAATCAAGGTGAAGAACATTCCCAAGGATTGGAACCAGATGTCTGCAACCAAGCAGGTCAAGCGATACTACTTCCCCGAGCTCCGAAGCCTCATTCGCAAGTTGCAAGAGGCCCAAGAAACTCATAGTCAGATCGTTAAGGAGGTTGCTGGACGCTTCCATGCCCGGTTCGATGAGCATTACAACACATGGCTAGCTGCTGTTAGAATTGTATCACAGCTCGACTGCCTAATCAGTTTGGCTAAGGCTTCTAATGCCATCGGCCATCCGAGTTGCCGACCAGTGTTTGTGGAGGATGAGCGAAGTGTCCTAGAATTTGAAGAGCTCCGTCACCCTTGCCTTCTTTCGTCTGTCGAGGACTTTATTCCCAATGATATCCAGCTTGGTGGCAAGCACGCTAGCATTGACTTGCTCACCGGTGCTAATGCTGCCGGAAAGTCTACCGTTCTCCGAATGGTGTGTTCGCCCCCCTCGCCCTTTTATTTTAATCATGTTGCTAACAAGTATAGACCTGTGTTGCTGTCATCATGGCCCAAATCGGTTGCTACCTTCCCTGCCAGTCAGCTCGCCTGACCCCAGTCGACCGAATCATGTCTCGCCTCGGCGCAAACGACAACATCTTTGCCGCCCAGTCAACATTCTTTGTCGAGCTGTCCGAGACAAAGAAGATTCTTTCTGAGGCTACTCCACGCTCACTTGTCATTCTTGACGAACTCGGCCGTGGAACTAGCTCTTACGACGGTGTCGCCGTGGCTCAGGCCGTACTTCATCACATCGCTACCCATATCGGAGCCCTGGGTTTCTTTGCCACCCACTACCACTCCCTTGCCGCTGAGTTTGAGAACCACCCCGAGATTGCACCCAAGCGTATGGCCATCCATGTTGACGATGTCGAGCGCCGTGTCACATTCCTGTACAAGCTTGAGCAGGGTGTTGCAGAAGGTAGTTTCGGTATGCACTGCGCATCCATGTGCGGGATTCCTAGCAAGGTCATTGAATGTGCGGAGAATGCTGCCAAGCAATGGGAACACACTAGCAGGCTTAAGGAGAGCCTGGAGCGTCGCAAGGGCGGTGGCTACGTTGGTCTGGGCTGGTGGAGTGATGTGGCCTGGGCGTTGCGTGACACCGTCAAAGAGGAAGACTCGAATGCAGGCGATATCTCGGATCGCGGCTTGGATGTCTTGATGAAGGCAATTGAGGCGCTTTAGTGACTGAGATACTTGTTCGGTGGTGCTTCGTTCTGTTTTTTCCCCCGTCCATCTTCATAATGTGGGTCTATGATCTTTCACCTTTCATTTCAACTGGCTGTTCGTGTCAGATTTCGTTCTGTTTTTTATATCTTGGTTCAGAGGGTGTCTCTGGATCTGTTCGGTTATCTAGTCTCCTATCCCTACGTGTATGAATATGTATTCATCTCCATAGCAAAGAATGTTTTTTCATTTTAAATCAGCCCGAAATTCATTGTCGAATCTAACAGTGAGAGTAGGTCACCAATGCCATTGCTCCTGTTTCTTTTTCTCGATTTTCTTCTCTTTTCTTTCTGGTCGTTCGAACTTGCTAGTCGAACAAAACACACAACACAACACAACAATTGCCACAAACACTCAGTTGCACAGTCTAACAATTTGATCATAGTCCATACCTACATGTAGATTCCCACTTCCCCTTGTGGCAAGTAAGATACCTCGAACCAATCAACATCAGACATCATCTTCGTCGGGCTCCTCAGATTCCTCGTTTTCCTCATGCATGGGGTCAGCCTTTTCATCGTGCTTTTCCTTTGTGGTCCTCGCAGTAGCATGCCCGTTTGTCTTCGGTGCATCCACTTCTAGAGTAAGACCATCCATAGCTCCCCCAACGACGTCTTTATCCAGGGACTCAGCTTGTCCGTTGGTTTTGTAAACTTTCTTGCGATTCCCATTCTGGGACTTAGCCTTGACAGACATCTTGACAGGAGTAGATTTGGCATGTGCTCGGGGAGATCGACCATCTGTCTTCGGTGCCTCCACATTCCCTCCCAAAGTAAGACCATCCATAGCTCCCCTAACAAGGTCTTTATCCGGTGACTCGGCGAGTTCGTTGCTCTTGTCAAGCTTCTTGTGATTCGCAGCCTGGGACCTGGTCTTGCCCGAAGCGGACTTGGCATATGCTCGAGCAGGTCGGCGTTCGACTTCTTCCTCCATGTCACTATCGTTGTCCGAAGTATCATCCAGTTCACCGAGGTTTCCGAGCCGCTTACGCTTAACTCTGCCATGGCTTGTGCGGGAAGAAGTGGCGTTCATCTCTTCGCCAGAGGACTCGTCGGCACTTTCTTCTGTGGAGTCATCCTGGTACGCGTATTGGCTTCTGCCACGCTTCACACCCTGGTTGCGCTCGATATTCTGGTAGCGTGCGCGGGAGGATGAGATGTTGGTGCCTGCATACAAAGGACTATCCCTTCCTTTTCTCACTTCATGACTTGTAGAGTGCTTGTTGTGTCTGTTGTGTCTCGTGGCCTTTTGTTTAGTGTTCCGGCGTTGGGTCTTACTTGCGGGGTTGAAGTTCACCAGTGAAGAGTCGTCGTCTTCGATCTCGCTGTTTTCAATGTCCTCACTGTCACCGTCCAGAGACACGCGCTTGCCTTTTTTCTTGCGTTCGGCGTAGGCTTTGCGCTTATCGTTCTGGTGATGGGTCTTTGATTGAGTCTTGTCGACTTCTAACTCGGACGACTCCGCTGCGCCTCCTTCAGCAGGGAATGGCCATCGAGTCAAAGTCGACTCGAACCTATGATCAGCAATACATAACGCGGATAGGTTTCGCTTGGCGTAATTGAGTGCGCGTAAAGCATGCTTTGGTGTTACATTTGCAAGACGTCCCAGTTTGTTGGTGTCAATATCCTGAAGGATGTTTAGTAGGCACAAGATAACATTCAGTGTATGTAGGTAACAACCTCCATGGCAATGCAAAAGTGTGCAAGAACTAGGAACTTGATATCGACCCCTGCTAGGCCCATCCATTCAGGATTCTTGACTCCACGGCTGAAAAACATAATGTGTTCGTGATAGCCTTATTTCTTGTTCACCCAGTGAACAAGAATCAAAACCGGAAGCACAGAATAAGGGAGTATGTTGAAGGAACATGGAGGACAAAGGGAAAGCAAGGGCAATTTATACGAGGGGACCACACATAGACAATTTCTACGCACATTCACATTTGCCGGTGGCTATACCATGTTGTGCAATAGGTTTCATTGTTGGGCAAACATCTGTGGCCATTCCCGTAGGAGAGGGCGAACTAGGTACACTTGATAAACAACCCTTCTGTCATGTGCCTCCTGATAAATCAAGTTCTCAGATATCTCGAATCCCATGGAAAGTCCAGTAGGAAGTCCCCAGTTAAGAACCTCGAGAGAGACTGCATTGACAACACGATCACTTAGTCGATAGGCTCCGGCTTGATTTTGATATCGGCATCGGCCTTGACCTTCACCAGACTGTCGGTGCTCTCGCCAGATTCAACCACAATCTCAACCTTCACAGTATCTTTGGTATCCTCTTCAGATTCAGCCTTGGTCTTGATATCATGTTCGGGCTCGGGCTGCGGGTCAACAACTTTGTCACGGCGCTTCTTTGCGCAGCTGTTGCCTGCAGACTTGCCCTTGGCATTCGAGTTGGTTTGGTCGTTGTCTAGGTTGTCCAGTTCATCCTCGAACATCTTTTCCAGCTTGCGCTTGATAGATGGAAATCTGCTGGCTGCTGATTTTTTCTTCATATTGCTCAGCTTTCCGAGCTTTTCGGTGTCAAGCTAAAATTGTAGATACGGTCAGTTTGAGTCGTGGTTCGAAGGATGGTACAAAGACTGTGCGTACCTTTCCACCCATACACAGGACACTGGCCATAATGAGCTTTATTTCACCGGCTGTGAAATCACCCAATAGCCCAGACTTCTTCTTGGGAGATGGGGTAGTTGACATCGTGTCAGTTGGTAACATAGGTGACGGTGTATTTGGTAATGGATGAGTTCGTTCTTTTTGATGAAATGGGGGGTTATTGTGGTGTACAAAGGCACTGGATATGGGTTGTGGTGAACTGTTGATGTTGGAGAACACGGTCTGTTGGGTGGTGAAGAAGGAACAACCTTGGAACATTACGTGCAGTTTACTTGTGGTAATAAGAAGCTTGTGATATGGTATTGGAGTCGAAGACTACCATCTACATTACTTCCCTCGACATACCCTTATATGAGAGATTCTATTACCATTCCAAATATGGATCTTCAAATTCTGCATGATTCACTGCAAATGAAGCCGTACTATGTGATTGAGCTTGACACAATATGTAGGATCCTTGAAACATCGACCCTGGGTCAGAGCTGCAAAGTTGACCAATGCTTTTTTGGTCTAACCACTGATGAATCTCATTCCATCCTAACCCTCAGTGTCATGGCCGCGTGCAGCCTCCACAGCCTCATCAGAATCCTTGTCATCCTCCTCATCCTCCTCAGCTTCTTCAACTTCTTCAACCTCTTCCACTTCCTCGGCTTCCTTGATAGCCACTGCAGCGATTCTCTGTTCCTCCCATTTCTCGAGGCATCGTCGGGCCTCGGTGAAAACGGTTCTGGCAGAGGAAGGCTTAACGTTGCAAAGCTCCCCAAGCTTCTTCCAGTTAACCTGCCAAGAAGACTCACCTTGAGCTCAAATACCGTGGAGATTAAAGAACACACTCTTTCACTTACCTTGTTCTTTTCCATGCATAGGTATCCCATCACAAGGCGCTCTGTCTGGCTTGGGGTGAGTCCTACTGACTTCACCGGGTCAGAGGTCTTCCCTTGTTGCTTCGAGTGTGACATGATTGTTGATTGTTGATTGTGATTTTAGATAGTGATGGAAGGTTGAATATGGGATTTTAGAAGCGAGTCTTGTAGATATTAATCTCAGAAAGGCAGATGATTGTTGATGGGGAAGAATTACGAGGAGGGAGACCTGAGAAGTCAGTGTATTATATAAATTATCAACCCGTCCCAAGTCAAAGCCAATTTTAGCCTACATATTCCGACAAAGCTGATTCTAAATCATTCACTATGCTTTTTTTTTTAAAAAAAAAGTTTTCTATCGCTATCACGGCATTTTCTGATCTCACGTTTGCTCTTGATTTTACAGCTCCTCTCTAGTGCTTGAAAATGAAAGATGCTGCAGAAAGCTTAGATATGGATCGTCTAGCTGAGATATGGATCGTCTAGCTGAGATATGGATAGAGAGCGTCTGTAAGAGATGTCAACAAAGCTTTTAGACTATGATTCTTCTGTGCAGGATGAACATGTTCTCCCATTTATGGAAGCGGCATCTGAGTCAATGGGAATCCCAGAGATTTCTTCTCACCATGTCAAGCTTCTGGATAGTCCGTTTAAGATGGCGAACTAAGTCAATGGACTTGGGTTCTTCAAGAAATTCACCCTAGCTGTGACCATGCTTATTATCCTATCACCTGTCGAATGAAGTTGAATTGGTAATCAATAAAGATTACCGCTAGCTGTCCATCCAAAAAAGCACAAATTTATACGCAGAGACCAGCCTGACATGTAAGGCCAGGTAGAACCCCACAGGGGGTGCCATTCGGACGCTTATCAAAGTATTGAATAAACCCCCTCCGACAAGTAACACGGCATACATCCCCTGATACTTCAACACCTTTACCACACTGGAGTTATCAAATCAGCACGCATTCATAAGTTAAGTCTCTCATGGGAGGAACGGACAAGTTTGCCCTCCATATCTGTAGAGGGGACGTCGGTGTCGCGAATAGATACCTAAAGAAAAAAGACCTATCAGCTCATACTGTTCCTATAAAGTATGCGGACTGCTTTGATCTATAGCCGTAGCTTACCTGCCGCTGTTGAAGTGTCAGTCCACCTGTTGGACTAGCTGTTCCCAGTCCACAAAGGACAGCCAAGACAATAAAAAATTTCATATTAAGCGTCACCAATGGTATCAAATTATAAAGCCAATCAAGAGTCGAGAGCAGCTGGTTATAGAGATAAAGTCAGGAATTGTACGAATAATTCACCAATGAGGAAGGGAATGACTTTTATACCTTTCAGACGCGCCAAGACCCAAATTTCAAGCTCGAACCAGTCATGTTGGCAGGGGATAGAAATTAAGGAGATATAGTTTTTACACAGGTCAGACGCAGCTCAAGTGGAGAGCATGGCTGTCTCGGAATTTACTACTCAGGCCCTTACATATTCGAGAGGCTATGTAACTAGTTATTCTGCATATCCCTGTATTAGCTAAACGCCTGAATTGGTGCAAGTGCCGTTTCTCGATCTTCTTTCCCTGTACGGTATCATGTGCAGTGTCGCTTTATAAATTTACACCCTCTATCTGCTCTAACATAGTCCATAGACGAATGCTATATATAGTAAATACTATATGACGAATAGAGTATGATTATAGTAAGATGTTTATTCTAACTGGTGACCATTTTCTACATCCTCATGTGTTTTTTTGGTTTAGTATGTTGCACATTAACCCGACGATAGGAGGTGGGACGTGAAGGCACGGCGACCATTGTTGGTCGTTTCAAGCCCCGATTGGTCCGTCCGCAAGTATGGGGACGGCAGGACGGCTACAACGTATTTTACAGCGCTACTAAAGGTTTCTACTGTATGAAGCTTAGACCTGGCCCCTGCATACCACACCATTCATTATTGGAGAAGGCGTATACTTACAGTATCCAATTTCTAGAAGGCGAGGAAGACCTGGCTAATGGTAATGTGACTGGAAGCTATTGGTATGTCTGTTCAAAGTTTTTACTTTAAGCAAGAGGCCGACCCTATTACACCTATGAGTAATACCATTAATTATCACGTTTCCCCGTCACATACTCGTTGCAAATCAACCAGACACCTCCCCGATTCTTAAGCTTACAACACACTTTAAGAAAAACACCACCAACATGCTTGACTATCATCAACCTAAATATGGCATTGGCTCAAGAGCTGCCATAGGAACAGAAAATTCAAATTTATTGAATCGAGCACCGGTCACCTTAGAAAATGTGGATGATGGTGAAGATAACTCAGCATCGAAAGACACAGCAACGAAAAGCGAACCCTATTACGTCAGAAGAAGGTATTCATTATCTCGTTTACTAGGTTGGGTATGATTATCTATATGATCGCAATCAATATCATCTTTCCCGTGATACCTATACTCGAAAATGATTAATTACAGTATGACGTCTGCGCAGATAAATTTAACTATCACTATATATATGATTATTTAAGGGCTTTCGCTAGCGTTAATATCTACGCTTTCTGATCTCTTAGGGCGGCGCTTAGTATAGATACTTATATATAACTGTATATGATAGCAAATGTTTTACTTAGACTTCCGCACGACCCAGAACCCAACCCAGACCCAGTGACTGGGGCCCCAGAAAACCCAGTATAGCCCCAGTTCGACCCAGTTTCTGCATAAATTATAGCATAAATATTTAAATAACATACCGTCATTTCCCCTGTTATAGTTTCTATATCGAAATGCTACACTCTCTACCAACAAGGCAAATGAGATTTTATCAGTGAGCACTCAGTGAGCAAATCAGAGTGCTCAGATGATGATCAGTGGGTGGATCAGGGTGCTCAGGTGATGATCAGTGAGCAGTCATGCTGACTATGTAATGATCGATCAAGTCAGGGTACTCAGGGGCGTGCTCGATTTTACTCAGTAGTCAAATAGCGGCAAGAGGTGAGTACTAAAACGGAAAGGGAAAGGTATCGAGTGCCAGGGATTATCCGGTACATATGCATGTTATCCCAGATGTACGTAAGATGTCTGATTGCCAACATGTGCAAAAATGCCGGATACGTAGTTGGAGCGAGCGGCAAATGCAATTCCCACCATTTTCTTTTTCATTTGAGTGCTCATTTGAATGCTTTATCACTGGTTTGGAACGAAACCCAGTAGATACATATTTTTGTCTTTTTTTGGTATAAAGAGCATTCAGAATCCCCCTTGATAGCATCGCATTCTCCTCATGATCATGTGAAAATCTGGTAAAAAGCACGAGTTCTCAAATCTGTTCCACCTCGTGCTCTGGGAGTTCCTGGGCTGAGAATTAATTCTCAAGCTGGCCGTTCTCCTGAGCCTTTTCTTGCTTGCAGGCATCACCCTCTTCATCGGGCAGTGGGGACTCAGGGAGTTGCTGGTTCACAGCCAGGTCAAGCACAGCGTCGTTGTTCTCATCGGCCTTGACTTTTGCATGCTCCTCCTCAGTCTTGGGCTTGATTGCATCAGCGGTAGTGGCAGTTTCAGTGACAGGCTCAGCAGCGGCAATAGCGGCCTTGTGGGTAGTATCCTCAGTGAGGCCAGCGGCGAAATCAAAATCATCAGTGAAAGGGCTAAACTCGAGCTTCACGGAGACCTCCTGGTCGTCGGCTGCCTCGGACTTGATAGCAGCCTCGTCACCCTTGGTAGCCTTGGCCGACTTGGGGGTCTTGGGAGACTTGATAGCGCGAGGCGCCTTTGCGTTTGCCTTTCCGCGCTTGGAAGAAGAATCCTCAGGCGACATGGGAGCACTGGCACTGGCACCATCCCCATTGGCGTGGTCATCAGCGTACAGCTTGTCTAGCTTGCGCTTCGCAGTGCGGAAGAGCGTGTGAGCAGACGAGGCTTTGATGCCAGCATTTGCAGCAAGCTTGTCGTAGTCGATCTTTATGATCCACTATATTAGCAAGGTAACTATAGTGTGAGAACTCGGGACCGGCTAACATACCTTGTCATTCTTCAGGCAGACATTGGCCAGGACCAAAAGCTTGGTCTCAGTGGCGGAAATGCCAGGAAAGAGGGTCGGCTTCGCCTGAGAAGACATTTTGAAACAGTTTGGCGAGACTGGATAAAGATTTGGTGGTTAACGCTGAGTTTCAATTTCAATTTGAACTTCAAGTAACGGATGTAGAAGGAAGAAAGAGAAAATACCGGGAAAGGTTGAAATGGCAAATAAAATAGCAAGCCCCGTCGATCCAAAACAGAATGAACGTTCCCAGAACGCGCGTTGGGGTGAACTTTCCTTGATGATAAATCGTTCTCAGAACCCGCATTGAAGTGAAGTCTCCTCGAAGATGAACTGTTCTTAGAACGCGAGTTGAAGTGAATTTCTCAGCGTAGAATGCAATTTGATGAGCCTGGATGTGGAAATAGAAATTCGGCGACATAGCGATTGACGGGAATTTCACTGCATTCAACCGCTATATCGCGGTTAATCTGGGGGGCCTTTGGTTCAGATATGCTCAAGATGAGAGCCAAGTGAGAGACCTGAGGCCATGTGAGCGGGCCTCATCCCACCCTAAAGCATGATAGAACGATATGGTTGCAACTGGATTCTTTGCATTAACATAATCCACACAAGTTAATCGCGGCTGGGACCTCATATGTTTAATGTGTGAAGATCCAAGAGCCTGAGGTAAATGGATATGAAATATACGACATATTCAATTATTAATTCATAGCTACCTTCGATCAGAGTGACTGAGATTAGGCCCCATCGATCAATAACTAAGATAAATAGGCGCTAGACCATCAATGGAAGCAGTCATAAGATTGCATAGATCAATGAGGCCGTGACTTGGCTTTTTGAATCTGCTGGTAAATTCCGTTCCACAATTCAGGGAAGAAAGCCGATGTCTGTCTCCCCGGTTTGCTGTGGGTTCCAGTATAGAACTGGGTTGGAGCTCTTCCCTGCCACCATCGTTGGGGTGAAGGATTCAAATTCTGGAATGTGACAGGTCGCAGAGCGTCTTTGAAGGGAACGAGATCTCCAAGACGGACAGTTGTTTGCCGGGGAATGGTATTGAATCGCATGCTGGTCAGATATAGCACTGCCGTTGGAGGCAGGTCTTTTGCATACTGGACAGCGGCTTCCCGCGACTTCCTCGCAAAGGCAGGAAGTGCCAGATGGATAAAGTTCACATACGGGGCAGCAGTATATGAGACAAATAGCATTGGGAGGGCGCCAGCAGCAATCACTAAAGCAAAATCAGCATAGACGCATAGGGGATGTAATGTCCAATTTAGCTTACCCGCAGGTGTGCTGTACCAGGGGTAATCATCAGCCACAGAGCATGCTGGTGCAACGATTAGACATGCTGCACCAAATAGAAGGACTGTCGTGATCCGCAGCGTTCCTAGAAAAATAGCTCTACCCGTCCCTCCATAATAGACTAAGATTCGTTCTGGTGGCCCTGTAACTCTATCTCAGCAAACGCGCATAATACCAGGAGGTAGGTTTCGCATTACCTGTCCTGATGGTTGTCTTTGGTGGTGTGAGGTTTCTTGTGACTGGAGAACGCGCAGCTGGGAGGGTTTCCTTCGATTTGGGTAATGGTGAAAGATGCTTCTGCGACGGCCGAGGGATCTGCGACTTGAAGCGAACCCAGACGCTCCTACGAAGACTGCGTTGGGCACATTCTGGTAAAGTTGTGCGTAATTGAGGGTGGAGTAAAACCTGTAGTCGCATTGTGCCTGTGTAATGTAGTTGGCTTGGGATTTGGACGTTGATTGATCTCCCCAATAAATCGACGATCACCCGGCAAAAAGGGTGACCGCCTTGGCCTCCGCTCTGTTTAGATTGCTGGATGTGCTGACCTACCAGCTTTTTGACACATTCTCCCTTGATCTCATACCATATAATATCGTTGATTACCTAGCTAAATTAGGCTTGGATTCATCCGATCGTTGCTTTGATGCAGGTCGAGACCCGTTAGCGCGAGCTTTCCTTCCACGCCATGTCTCCGGCTTATCGCATGACACCTGGCATTGTGTCAATTTGGCTATGCATTCTTGTAATGCTTCTAGCATGTGTAGACGCATACGAGGAAATATCAGATAAGACGTTGACCGGACTCCCGCGGCCCAATAACGACTTCGACATTCACAATGGCGCTCTGTTGTCACCTATACTAAGGACCCGCGTCCCTGGCACCCCCGGCTCCACCGCGGTGCTCAGTCACTTCGCCAACTTTTTTCGAACCACATTGCCCAGATGGACTATTGAGGTTCATAATTCCACGGCCAAAACGCCACTATCCAAGGGGAAGGACGTACCTTTCCGAAACTTTATCGCTACTCGCGATCCTCCTTGGGCCTCGGTTGGCGACGTTGGCCGGCTCACTCTTGTCGCCCATTATGACAGCAAGATAGAGCCAGAAGGCTTCATCGGAGGTATCGACAGTGCCGCGCCATGTGCGATGATCATGCATGCCATGCGCAGTATTGATGCCGCGCTAGAAAAGAAATGGTCCGCGCTGCAGGAGCAAGGACTACACACCTATCTCGAAGAAGAGCGGGGTCTCCAGGTTATATTCTTGGACGGCGAAGAGGCCTTTAAAGACTGGACTGACACCGATTCCCTCTATGGAGCTCGTGCCCTGGCTACACATTGGGATGACCAGGTCTATCCCGCGATGTCGGAATTCAAAGGTCCCTTGTCATCGATATCTCTGTTTGTCCTTTTGGATCTGCTGGGCTCGAAATCCCCGACAGTTCAATCTTACTATGAGACAACACACTGGGCTTATCAAAGCTTGGGCGCCCTTGAAAAACGATTCAACTCATTGAAGCAGTTCAAGTCTGCCTCGGCTAGTTCATGGTTCGTCGATACTGAGAAGGACGGACACAATCTGTCGCCTATGGGTGGCATCCAGGATGATCACCTTCCTTTCCTCGCCAAGGGGGTTGAGATCCTGCACCTGATTGATTTTGCACCCTTCAAGGGATTCCCTTCTGTTTGGCATACAATCGACGATGACGGTGAACATTTAGATTTGGATACCGTCGAAGACTGGAGCATGCTAGTAACCGCCTTTGTTGCGGAGTGGATGGAATTGGAAGGCTACTTTGACCATCAATTTACCCTCAATCCACGCAGTAACGACGAATCTGCTGAGTTGGAAGCCCTCCGCATGGATAGGAAGACCGAGTTGTAAGCTATTCTTCCGTTTGCTCACCTCTACATCTTTAGTCCCCTGTCTAGTCTTTTTCCCTGTTATATACCCAATGCATTTATTCACGGACCAATTGCATCTATTTTCAGTTGAACCGACTATGTACATATTCGATGGCATTATTACCCTTGCTAATCAAGCCTCGGATGCAGCTCTTAAGATCTTCGGACTTCCATATTTTCTTTTCTTGCATAACCATCCACCGATTTCGACTCTATTCCCCCGAGAAGACGCCAATGTTCAACGAAGCTAATGAAGAATTAAATGTCTATAATTTCTATATCCCATTCACTTTAAATCAGGTTGCCCATCATGTAACCGCCCATCGTGATTAGTCCCCAGGTCGGCTGTAGGACTGTTCGCAAAATTGCAGGGCCCGGGCAAACCCCTCTCAGTCCCCAAGCTAGTCCAAACGTCGCAGCACCCGCAACAAAGCGCCAATCTATGTCGCTCACCGTGGCCGTTGGGAGTCGCCATTTCTCTGCAAGGGTAGGCTTAGCAACAGGCTTTCCCTTTTCAACCGCCTGGCCTGGTTTCTCGGCCAGGAAGGTGAACAACGATGGCCCAATTCCAAACAGGATGATCAGCGCCAGCGACGGATCGAATCGGGATGGGTCAGTCACAAAAGCAAAGAACCTGAGCACCTTGGCTGGGTCAGCCATTCCAGATATCAAAAGACCCAGGCCAAACTCCAACCCTGCCACATAAGAATAGACAACCCTAGATTTCTCCGACCGATGGACTTTCTGCGGGACAACGATGAAGTTTGTGACAGCCGCCAGCAGTGCTGCACCTGCCATGAAGCCGAACTCCGGCCCAGATGGATACATTGGCGTATAGCACGGGGTCGAACCACAAGATGGGATATTAGATCCGCCCTCAACAAGGTTCGCCGTGAGCAATGCAGTTGTGAAGAAGATGGCGGTTGCAATCAGCGAGCGGGGCGAGAGACGCGAAAGCCCACACAGCATGTGTCCGGAGGTACAGCCTCGACCGTTCTACTTCACTTAGTCAACTTGTTCCTGGTTCTCCAATTATATCCGATACTCCTGACCTTTGTTCCCCACCCCAATAGGAAGCCCACTCCCAATGTTGCTGCAGCAGAAGCCCATGATTGTGGAGACGCGGGATAGTCCGGGATCAGTGATGGTGCCAGCAAGTATACTGGTACAATGCTGGACACCAAACCCGCGATGATGGGCACATTGTCACGACTCGGGTTGAAGGCGCACCCAGATAGAAGAGAGGATATGCCGAAGACGGCACCGTTGTGTATGAGTAGGCCGGATGAGCCTTGGAATAGCAATAGCGCGCCCAGCGTGGTATGAATTGGGGTGAACATGATGTTGATGCTGTGTCGATTCGTCTTTGTTATTAAGGTTTTCTCCCTGATGTCATTGCGGGAAGTGCAGTCTGGTGTTGAATGAGGTATAGAACACCAAGAAAGTTGAGGGAAAAAATAAATAACCAGGGATTCTCTCGAATTCAACGTTTGAAAAAAGAAGCGAAGAAGTCAAGAAACAAAGAAGTCCAGTTAGGGTTTCCATATTGCATGACAAGGGATTTCCGGATCGGGGACCATTTATGTCGCCGTTATAGTTATAGTGGTCCCCGAGCAATTTCTTTCGGCATCCCCCGGTATTCACATAGGCCATTATGAGCTCATTGGTTGACTATGCTATTCGAATATTTGCTCTTGATTCCATCATCTCAAGCACTTTCATGTACTCATTCACCGTGTTACACCAGAGTCCCTGCATGCAGTAGCATGACAGGCCAAGTCGGGTAACTATGTTTAGACGAAGATCCTCAAAAAATCAGAAGACCCTCTTAGTACTAGCAACGAATGTGACAACCGTGACATATGTAACAACTGTGACACCGAGGAAATGAGACGTCGGAGAAAGCAGAAGACTTGGCTAGGGTTCTCCGTCTCGTGAAGCAGTCGCGATCCCGCCGCCACTTCTATCTGTTCCACCGGCCATTACGGATCTTCTCTTTTGCATTAGCCTCCACTTGACCATCTCGTAGGTGGCCTTCAATTTTTATTCTCGTCTAAATGGGGAACACATCCAGCGTCGCCGGCCGTGAGTGCTTCATGGCCGCCGTGGGAGGAAACCCTACTATGGCGACCTTTCGGGGAGATCTGTCATATGAATTTCGGGCCCTGCCGTCCTATAACCTGGCCATTCCTGTCCACCCCGCGGTAATCACTTATCCGAACACTACGAGCCAGGTCGCTCAAATTGTGCGTTGTGCCGTTGAGAGAAACTACCGGGTACAGGCTTACAGTGGAGGTCACAGCTATGGAAACTATGGTATGGAAGTGCCTCATACGTCCCAATCATTGTTTACCTTTTGCTAAGTCAACTATACTATGGTAGGTCTGGGAGGAGCCGATGGCCACGTCGTCGTCGACCTAAAGAATTTCCAAAACTTCTCGATGGATCCGGACACCCATGTTGCCACAATTGGAGCCGGTACAAATTTGGGTGATCTTCAAGACCATCTCCTACATGCAGGTGGTAGAGCGATGTCACATGGATCTTGTCCACAAGTCGGAGTTGGCGGTCATTTCACCATTGGTGGTCTTGGCCTCATGTCACGACAATGGGGAACTGCGTTGGATCATGTGTTGGAGGCTGAAGTAGTTCTTGCCAATTCCAGCATTGTGATTGCGTCGGACACCCAGAACCAGGATATTTTCTGGGCTATCAAGGGTGCGGCCGCCAGCTTTGGCATCGTCACTGAGTTCAAAGTTCGCACGCAGGAAATTCCCAAGGGCGCTGTGCAATACACGTATACATTCAGCCAGGGAGACATACTTGACAAGGTCAAACTTTTCCAAGCCTGGCAGTCCATCATCGCGAAGCCGAACATTACACGGAATTATTCCACCGAGCTCACAATCTTCCAGGACGGTATTGTAATCACGGGCAGCTTCTTCGGAACCAGAGAGGAGTTTGAAAAATTTGAGCAGGAAAACAGCCTCCCAATCCAAAACAGGGGCAATGTGGCATACATCACAAACTGGCTAGCCTTGCTAGCCCACGCGGCTGAGAATTACCTAGTCTCAATCGGTGGAGCTTTGCTCACTTCGTTCTACTCCAAGTCATTATCGTTTACAGTCGACGAACTATTCGCCGAGCACGGGCTAGTTGCCTTGTTCACGTACCTCAACACCGCACCGAAGGGTAGTGAGAACTGGTGGGTTATTTTTGACCTGGAAGGTGGCGCAACCAACGATGTTCCTATGAATGCTACGGCCTATGTTCACCGTAATGCTGTCATGTGGATGCAATCGTATGCTGTTGTCGGCTTTGAGCCTCCTGCATTCATTGCCAGGAGGTTCCTCGATCGCTTGCATCAAGTTGTTATTGAAAATCGGCCACCCGGACCTTTGCGTTCCTATCCGGGATATGTTGATCCTTACCTTCAGAATGGTCAGATGGCCTACTGGGGATCGAATCTTGGGCAGCTCCAACGTATCAAGACTCTTATTGATCCGAAAGACGTCTTCCACAATCCGCAGAGCGTGACTGTTAATCCCATTATCAATTCTCACGATTAATACTACTTGAGGGAGAAGTTGGATGCTAGTCTCATATGTTTTATTGACACACGAGCGGACATTTCGATACACCTTTGTAGTGGTTTTGTATTTCCCATGGGTATATAGGTTTAAATTGAAAGGATTTTCATGACATGCTTACGGAGTAGATATGGATGATTCCAAAAATACATTAACCCAAGTTAAATACAGTTAGCACCAAGAAGGCTAGTGTTATCTTATATATTAAACAGTTACGAGGTTCCCCTCTTTGTCTCCGATCTCCTTAAAACCTTTGATCCCAACTTATATCACTGAGGTATGCATGCTACTGTGATGTCGTCACCCGAAATTTACAAAGGAAATTGCCATTGCGGTCAAATTAGGTTCAATCTGGATCTACAGCAACCCTTACGGCAGGTTTTCAGCTGTCGTTGCTCGATATGCACCAAGAAGGGCTACCTCTGGATATTCCCGGAAGAATCCCAGTTCCAAATTACAAGCGGACATCAATCTATGGCTAGATATACTGCGAAAGGTCGCAGTGGAGATCATTTTGTAAGCACGTACTTTTTTTCGGTCATATTCATCGCCAAACTTACCTCTTCTAGTTTTGCCCTATGTGTGGTACAGGAATAATGGTGAAGAATCATATGATACAGGCCGGAAAATCAAGTATTGCTGTCAATGTCAGTAACGTTTATCTCAGTCTGTCAAGTCTATGGTTTTTGTTTGAATCTGACCCATTTATAGGCAAGAGCATTATTTGGAGTAAATCCCTTCACTTTGGAAGTTGAAGCGTAAGTACCTCAAGGCCCTACAAATTAGATCTGATTTAAAATATGAAAATAGGCTAGACTGCCCTTCCGATAGTACATCTATCTCTACTCCGTCTCGCGGACAAGTAGCGGAAGTACCAGGCGACAACCTAAAGCTATACACTGGCGGTTGCTATTGTGGTGCTGTTACCTTATCTGTGAAGACAAAGCACTGGTCAGAGGTGGAGATTAAGGAAGATAACTGCAGTATTTGTCAGAGGGTAAGCATCCAGCCCCGAAAATTCCGGTGATATTAGTTCTAACTAGAATAGAATGCTAATATCTGCATATACCCTCATCAAGACAGTGTTTCCATTCATGGAAACGAAAACACGACCGAATATCTGTTTCAGCGCAGGTTTAATGGCCATTGTTTCTGTCGGACATGCGGTGTGCATGTATACATGAAACTGCATGGACCACCCAAGGCAGTTGTGGACAAGTTGCCATTAGAAAAGCAGCAAATGGTGCGAGAGATGCTTGCTATTGTACCCATCAGGCTCTCTATTTTGGATGGCGTGGAGTGGTCGAATTGCCATGTCAAGAGGTCAGATGAAGGAACAGCAGGATATGTGATCTAATAGCCACTGTCGAATACCATCTCACTGGATATATTTCAATGCACCTCCAGTTAAAGTCATGGGTCACGGGTGTAGTTTTCTCATTCACGAGAACATCCCGTGTTTTCAATGTGATTGGAATACAGAGTTTCGCATATCATCCACACTAAAATCCAATGGGCAATGAGCTCGAGTCTGCGGTTGTATAACGGTGGAATCCAGCTCATTTTTGCTTTTGATGTAAAACATTTAGGCAGGGATCACGGTATCGTTTCTTCGCGATGGCACTCTTTCTTTTTCCCTAGGTATTTTGTAATAAGGCTAAGATAATCACCCCCTGGTGTGATTATATATATATATATATATATGGGAAAAGTCGACGACCACCCTAGCTTCTAAGTACTTCAGATTTAGAGAAGCTGTCATTTTCAGCGTCGATATCGCGAGCCCTCCGGTCCTATAAATATATAATTGACGGGTGACTGGTTGGCGTTTTCCGTCCTAACATGTTTCATATCGTTGGCTCTGCCAAAGCTTCCAAATTTGGAAGTCAAGCTTGTTACTAAGCCATCTGCGACGGACATCCACCACCTCAAGCTCCGTCTGTAAATGTCATGCAGGCAATACATGAATCCAATAGCATCAACGATGCATGTCATGGCTGTAACTCTCGCTTGATCCCGCCTGCGACACGTTAACCCAGATGCCCCAATCATGAAACGCGCATGCAGCCCAGAATCCAGCCCAGAGCATGAGCTAAGAAACGAAATTCCACTAAATCACCAGCGCCCAATTCTCTTAAGCTTAAATGCGCCCGTCTCTCCGCCACAAAAAAGATCATCTATCAAATGGGCCAAGGATGGAGATGGAGGAGACGCTATCCCGTCGAACGCATCACAATTAAACGCCCCACCCAGCCTCGCTGCCATCGAAGCAGGCCAGGCTGAAGTGACCGACCATCTGAGCACAATTTCAGCAAAGCTTAAAGAATGCGTTCGCCCATTTCCAACACTACCATTACCGCGGCTACCCATCAAGGAATGGACGGAATTGTACAGACGCAACGAGCACCCCGAAGGACGCCATTTCGTCATCCATCAACATGACCATCCCATCGCGGGGCCCCATTATGACCTCCGTCTCCAGTTCTCGGAGACCAGCTCTGTGAGTTGGTCGGTTATGTATGGGATGCCTGGGGATCCAAATAGCCAGCGACTGAACCGGAATGCAACTGAAACTCGGATCCATTGTTTATGGGTGGGTTTTTGTGATCTGGGATGAGATGGTATAATAATAACTAATTACCTCTTCACAGAATCATCTCATTGAAACAGCTTCTCACAAAACGGGGAGCCTGATTATCTGGGATACTGGAGAATATGAAATTCTACCTTACCAAATGGACCCATCTGGTCCGGAGACCGATGACTCTCGATCAGATGTCTCCGAAGATAGCCATGTTTTACCGGAGCCAATCTCGGATAGTGCGAAGTTGCGAGAAGCTTTTCAGAATGTAGGTATATCCCTGTACAACGCGGGGGACAATGGGCCTTTCTAACGGTGAGACACTAAGCGCAAAATCCGACTCCGACTGCACGGAACCCGTTTACCAAAAAATTACACTATTATATTACGGATGGATAAAACCACCGATTTTGCGAGGCCAATTCGACAAGGCCCCAAACGGCGTCGTCGCCAATCTAGGCCAAGGGCGCCACAAGCGCCCTTCACCTCGGACTCCGGATCACCTTCGCCTCCACCAAGCAAACAAAATTTGAGAGTGGATCCAACACCGCAAAGTCAATCCGAATCTCGAAATAGCCCGACTAAGACACATGCAGACGATATCTACACCGCCGACATGGAAATTCAAAGAAACAATGCCTACCCAGGGTCCAGCAATACGATCGGCTCGATCCACCAACGGCGGTGGTATCTCAGTTTGGATCGGGAATCCTCTGGATTTGAGCCGACGGTAAATGCAAGGGAGGTGAAAGAAAAAGGCAGGAAAAAAGTTGGACCCCCAAACTCGCCGGGCAAGGATTCGAGCCGTTTTACGTGCACGGCCCAGATTCTGAGCGAAGCGTTATCACTGCACGATTGGGGCGTGATGTTTTGGATGATGAGGCCGTGGAAGAGTTTGTGCCGAGACGCGGGTGGAGGCCGGTCCTGCATTAGGTGGACATTAGATGGATACAAGCTATACAAGTGGGGAATGGTGAATTTTCCTTGAATTCAAGTTGAATGTTTAATAATTGTCCTCCGGTTAGTGCTTACAGATATGCTATTCCGCACATGACCATTGGAAGACGCAATCCTCTCCAATCTAGGGGGTCGGAGCTCGGAGTTAGTGCTGAGGAAGAGGAATATGCAGCCACTAAGAAAAGTTCAGTCATTGAACACGAGAACTGCACTATATCGTGCGTGTGACTCAATGCACAGCCCTGGAGGGAAATTGATCTGACAGTTAATATCGATGTGAGGGTGAAAAAAGGTAAGATATTCTGAGTCACTGGTGGTCTAAGATCGGCCTATTCCTGGTTCCCCGCTCGATGTCACGATAGCTCGCGCTAACATTTCAGCGGATTCGTTATAGTCGCTGATAACGCCTTCATATTTCTTTTTTTGTCTTTCTTTTCTTGTCCTTCTTTTTTTTTCTTTTCGCGTTCGAAAAAAAAAAACAATGGCATACCTGGCGACATCTAGCTATCTAGCCTTGTCGCTGGTTGCTTTGGATAGTATACCTGCTATTCAGAGTATTGCCTACCGTATTTCCTGCAAAGCCCGTGATTATGAACCTGTTCAATTAGCCAAAGAGGTGTACAGCGATGAAGATGGAGAAGCGACCGAGGAATCACTCCAAGCTTTCTCTGATAAATGGCAAAGAGCCTTCATCGCCTTGTTCTCCATCGCCGGGTTTCTGGTGACTCTCGCATTGGCTGTTCTTGCGACATTGAAGCTTACAATCACGAATTCCACGCCATTGATTTGGCTGCAGTTCGGAGTATGGGTATGTAGAAAACCCGATCAATAACACAAACTCATTTGATTTGAATCAAACTAATGGCTAATTCTTCTTCTTATTATTATAGACTCTACTTGCTATTCAAGCTATTGCTTTCTTCACCGAGCCCCGACCGACAAGCCGATATGTTCTCGGCCACTTCGCTTTCTGGGGCAGTATTATTGCCGCTGTAGTCCCGAGTATCGAACTAGGAATCTTGATATTCTCTCAATTCGGACTTCCCCATGGACAAGTTTGGGTCGGGCTGCAATCGGCGCAAATTGCTAGCGCTGCTCTTCGCGCCGTATTCTGTGTTCTGCTACCACGTCGTCCAGATGTTTACCACGAAGACAAGCTGGTTGAGCGGGAACTTTCAGTTTCCCTACTCAGTCGCTTCACTTTCAGCTGGGCCAATGGGTTGCTAAACTACGCCGTGGAGCACAAGACCATGGATCTCGACGATATTCCCAAGCTCACAGCATCGAAGCGTGCTGATCGTCTCCGTGAGAAAGTTGAAATTGCGCTACAGGGCCGGAAATTGTGGCTAGCGCTTGTCTTTGCGCATTTGGGAGCACTGAGCGCCCAGATGATACTCAGTCTGCTGATTTGCTTCCTGAGCTTTGGACCCCAGGTTGCCCTGTTTCAGATCCTGAAAACACTCGAACTGCGCGATACTCCGGACTGGAATGTCGGAGCATCGTACTTTTGGGTCCTGTCTTTGGGTGGTTTGCTGTTCCTTGCCTCGAGCGTCGAGTCATGGCTGTTCTGGATAGTCTACTCTAAACTTGGAGTTCCCGTCTTCGCAGAGCTGTCAGCAGTCATTTTTGCCAAGGCCATGCGTCGGAAGGATGTGAAGTATACAAAGAAGTCCAAAACGGCAGATGAATCCGATAGTTCCAGCAAAGGATCCGGGGAGGCCGACGACGAGGACGAGGACGCATTGAAGAAAAGCCGTCAGAGTATTATCAACCACGTGGCCGTGGATGCTCGCCGCGTTTCCGACTTTGCCACTTTCAACTACGTTATCCCGCAGGCGGCCTTTAAAATCATTATCGGTGCCTCCTTTCTGGTCCAAATCCTCGGCTGGCCTAGTGCCTTCGCTGGTCTTTCAGTCTCTCTTCTTGTGACACCACTGAATGTCTACGCAGCTAAGAAATATTCAAATGCCCAGGATCGATTGATGAAATTCCGTGATCAGAAGCTGGCAATCGTTACTGAAGTGCTACAGGGAATTAGGCAGATCAAATTCTCGGCTTTGGAGGAACAATGGCAGAACCGCGTTCGGGAGACTCGAGAGACTGAACTTGGCGCATTGTGGGCTTCCTTCGTAGCTGATATTGGCCTGCTTGCGATCTGGGTTCTCGGTCCCGTCGGTTTATCCGCCGTTTCATTGACTACATATGCCATTCTTCATGGTACTTTGTCGCCCTCGGTGGCTTTCACGGCTATGGCAATCTTCAATTCTCTCGAAGCGTCGCTCGCTATTATCCCAGAGCTCACATCGATGGGTCTGGAGGCGAAGGTCAGCTCGGATCGTATCGACAAATTTTTGGCTACCTCTGAAAGAATTGTCAACACTGTCCCGGCTGATTATATCGCTTTTGAAGATGCCTCCGTTGCATGGCCTGCGGAGGAGGAAGATATTGAAGATTCCGAGGATCGTTTCATTCTACGTGACCTGACCTTGAAATTCCCGACCAAGAGTCTAAGCGTGGTATCGGGTAGAACTGGCTCTGGAAAGAGCCTGCTTCTCTCGTCGATCCTAGGTGAATGTGATGTCCTCTCTGGAACGATCAAAGTACCAGTTCCACTTCCCGTTACCGACCGATTTGATCACCTTGCGACTAAGGCAAATTGGATTATCGACTCCGCCATTGCCTATGTTGCGCAGATGCCCTGGATTGAAAATGCTACGATCAAAGCGAACGTTCTCTTCGGACTCCCGGACGATCCAGAGCGCTACCAAAAGGTTATCTTTGCTTGCGCTCTGGCAAAGGATTTCGAGATGCTGCCAGACGGCGATTTGACCGATATTGGTGCGAATGGTGTCAATCTGAGCGGTGGTCAGCGCTGGCGTATCTCCTTCGCCCGCGCATTGTACTCTAGGGCTGGTATACTTGTCATGGATGACATCTTCAGCGCCCTCGATGCCCACACAGGTCGTCACGTCTTTGAGAATGCTCTCACCGGTGAACTCGGTCAGAACCGAACTCGCATTTTGGTCACTCACCATGTCGCACTGTGCCTTCCTCGCACGGATTACTCCGTGCTGTTGGAGAATGGTCGTATCAAATATGCAGGTACCATTGATGATCTGAAGGAATCACACCATCTAGAGGATATCCTTCGCGAGGAACAAGCCGCTGAACAAGTGGATCTTGTAGCAGATAGTGAAGATCGTGAATTCCTCAACGACGAGGAGACAACGCTCCAAAAAGTCATCTCGAACACGTCTCACCGAAGACCGAGCACAGCTGTAAATGGCCAAGTTCCTAATGGAAATGGGGTTGCTGCTACACCGAAGACGTCTACACCGAAGAAATTCACTGAAGACGAGAAACGGGAAATCGGTTCTGTGCGACTATCGGTTTACCTTGCTTTCTTGAAGAAGGGTGGCTCCGTGGGCTTTTGGTTGGTGACACTCGTGGTATACCTGATGTATTCGACTCTCTTGGTTGGAAGGGTACGTGCATATAATCCTAAATCTGCCCCATTGTCTGTATCCTTTAACTAATCTTTATTTGTCACAGTCTTGGTGGGTCAATATTTGGACACGTTCAGCGTCCAGTACACAGGCCCATCCTGAGCAATACAGTGTCCTATTGCAGCATGCCATGCAACCGACTGCACCGGTCCAACAACACGATGACCTCTTTATGTACCTCGGAATCTACATTGCTATCTCTGTCATCGCCTGCATAATCGGAACAGTCCGTTACTACTGCATTCTTTCCGCGTCAGTCCGAGCCTCGAGGAACCTGTTCAATGGCTTGATTTATACTATCCTCCGCGCGCCACTCCGGTGGCTGGACACCGTCCCATTGGGACGAATTCTCAACCGCTTCACAGCCGACTTCCACTCAATCGATTCACGAATTGGGTACGACATCGGCTTCTTCGTGAGCAAGGTCCTAGATGTCTTTGCAATCATGATTGCAGGAATGCTTGTCGACTGGACTGTGATCTTGCTCGGCGGAGTCCTGTTGCTCGTATGTGTAAAACTCGCCCTATCCTATCTGGCAGGTGCCCGTCAAATCAAACGTCTGGAGAGCACTGCGAAGAGTCCTGTGTTTGAGCAATTCGGTTCTAGTCTCGCTGGACTGATCACTATTCGTGCCTTCAGCAAACCAGGCACCTACGTCGATATCATGTACAGCAAGATCAATCGCCATGCACAAGCATGGTGGACCCTGTGGCTGTTCAACCGCTGGCTCTCATTCCGCATGAGCATCGTCGGTGCCACCTTTTCAACTATCACTGCCGGACTCGTGGTCTATCTGCCAGGTATTAACGCTTCGCTTGCCGGTTTCGCTCTCAGCTTTGCGTTGCAGTATAATGCTGCGATCACAATGGCACTGCGACAATACGCCAACATTGAATTGAACATGAACGCCACAGAGCGTGTCATCGAGTATTCCAACATCGAGATGGAGAACCAAGGAGGAGCCGATGCACCCGCAGCCTGGCCTACAGAAGGCCATCTCGAAGTCCAAGACCTCGTGGTGGGCTACGCACCAGATCTCCCACCTGTATTGAACGGGCTCAGCTTCTCAGTTGAGAAGAACCAGCGCGTTGGCGTCGTTGGACGCACCGGAGCAGGCAAGTCCTCTTTAACACTTGCACTCTTCCGATTCCTAGAAGCACGCTCTGGCCAAATCTTCATTGATGGAATCGACGTCTCCACGATCAAACTACACGACCTCCGCAGCCGACTTGCAATCATCCCGCAAGACCCAGTGCTATTCTCCGGCAGTGTCCGATCGAATCTAGATCCGTTCGACGAATACAGCGATACAGAGCTCTACGATGCGCTAGCACGTGTGCACCTCATCTCCGAGGCCGACGACGACGAGCTCACCCTCACATCGCGCACTGCTACGCCCCGCCAGCCCAGTGAAACGGGCGCCACGACACCACCAAAGCCCCAGAAGACGAATTCTAACGCTTTCACTTCTCTCTCGTCGACTATCTCCGAAGGCGGCCTTAACCTCTCCCAGGGTCAGCGCCAGCTCCTCTGTCTCGCCCGTGCTATCGTCTCGCGACCCAAGATTATGGTTCTGGACGAGGCGACCTCGGCTGTTGATATGGAGACCGATGCGTTGATTCAGACGTCTATCCGTGCGGAATTCGGACGGAATGCTACTACGCTGCTCGTCATTGCGCACCGGCTTAGCACCATTGCAGACTTCGATCGTATTCTCGTCATGGATGCTGGAAAGGCCGCTGAGTTTGGCACGCCTAGGGATCTTATGGGGATTGAGAATGGTGTTTTCAAGAATCTTGTTGAGAATAGTGGGGAGAAGGAGGTGTTGGAGAAGATGATCTTTGCGTGAAAAAACGTTCAAAAAGATATATGCGATTAGGGGACAACATTTTAGGTTATTTTTTTTTTCTGTATAGATTACTACTTGAAGCTGGGAAAAATCAGCATACATATCAAAATTCATTGTTGCGCTTCGAAATCCACATCCATGAAGAGCTGTTTTCAAATAAACATACGAATCAAGGTAACCCCTTTAGATTGGGGATAGCTATAGTCTCAAAATACAAGACATACATTCGAGGGAGTGATGAGTTTAAAAAGGTTTTGATTAAGTTCCTGGTATTTGCTAAAATGTCCGGTGTCTTCTTTTCAGTATGATTAGAGTCAACAGTGACACAGGCGACTATGCCTGTGAAGCAATTGACTCTTTTATAATCCTCCTGCGGACCCAGACATAAGAACAAATCCCTGAGAACAGTATAGCTAACTAGACACGAATATAAGAGCCAAAAGAGAGGACCTAGGACATAAAGGCGTTGGTACCAACAACCCGTCCAACATCCATCTCCCAGCTTCAAGGGAAGCGCCCCCAAACCATGGCCCAAAGCCAATGGTCACACCTTCAAGTCTTGTGAATGGATCAGAGATGCCTTCATCGCGTCCGTCATGTAAACAAGGTTGGTATGCCGAACGCATATATCACATACCCTGCCCTCGATTCGTACAGCCCTTAAGCCCTCCGAAGAGAGAGAGCCGCACGTCTCAGAGGGAAGAGACTGTCTCATATATAACACACTAGGCTTTCATCATTCTGGGAAACAGTTAGTACAGTGATCAAAAATAGTAATTCCCTTTGAAAGGGACCTGGGAACAAGAATACTCACAAGTATAAAACTTGGAAGGATGAAGAAGAAAAGAAAACGGACGAGCGAAAAATCCCGCGCTTTTTATTTCTGCGGGCGCTAGTCCGCTTCTAGGGCGGGGTGGTTTTCTGCCGGTTCTAATGGTCAGGTTGTCTGAGCATGACTCGCTTTCTTCTAGTTTGGCTGCAATTGCATTCGCGACAATTGAAATATGCCAATTGCTGCCGTGCAGCTCCGCTCTTTGCGGTTGAGATCTAGTTACATTGAGATCTCGAATCTTCTGCGCGGTCGATCCGCTGCTTCGCCGAGACAATGTTATAGCCCCGTTCAGACTCCGCGGCAGTTCCATGCTCGGGCTTGTTTGCGACAGGAGGAGCCTCCTAAACAGCTCCCTGCTTTTCTGGAAGCTTACAAGCGGGCTGGTATGTGAACAGCTTCCGCTGAAAGCTTGGATTTTCCATAGTTTGAGAGAGCCGTGGCTAACACATGATGCGCTACAGTGGACTTCCCACCTGCCACCCACGACTTCGAAACGTTCTTCGCACAGGCTGAGCCAAACACGGAAGTAGTGCTACATGGATACCTCGGAAACCGCGCAGATCTTTCTAAGAAACTTTCCTTCGTGCGCCTATCCGATCCCACCCTGCAACACAGCCTACAGGTTGTAGCATTCGCCAAGAACGATGCCTTCGAACAGCTAAAGGCCGTGAACGCAAACAGCCCTGTGGCTGTGCGCGGAACAGTCCAAAGGAAAAAGACCAAGCCATCAGAGGGTGAGAACACACCAGTCGAAGATCAATGGGAGCTTGCATTGGAAGAAATTCACCCGCTCAATGACTTCCCTAAGGACTTGATCATGACACCTGAAACGGTCTTCCCACCTGAGCAACGATATCTTCAACTGCGATCGGATGCAGAGCTGCGCGAAGCACTGCGTTTCCGCGCCCGCGCACACAATCTTTGTAAGAAAGAGCTGGAGCAATGTAGTCCACCGTTTGTGGAGATCGAGACTCCGCTGTTGTTCAAGTCTACGCCGGAAGGCGCACGGGAGTTCATTGTGCCTACACGGAGGGAGGGACTGGCTTATGCTTTGCCCCAGAGCCCGCAGCAGTATAAGCAGATTCTCATGGCTAGTGGGTTGCCAAGGTATTATCAGTTTGCGCGCTGCTTCCGGGATGAAGATTTGCGTGCGGATCGTCAGCCCGAGTTTACTCAGGTATGGATATCTATTGTTTGGTTGGGTGACGGATGGCATTTGCTAATTTGATATCTACAGCTTGATATGGAGATGTCTTTCGCGACAGGCGACGACGTCATGCGCACCGTGGAAGGGGTCATTCGCCGACTTTGGTCGTCGTTGATGAAGGATCCTGCCCCGGAGGGCCCATTCCGCAAGGTCCCTTACCAAGAAGTCATGGCCAAATATGGATCTGACAAGCCGGACACGAGATACGGGATGGAAATCATTCGACTTGATCATGTTCTCCCCGTGGATCTAGTCAGCAAAATTTCTGGCCTGACCAATCCCATCGTAGAGGCTTTCAAGCTCGAAGGAAATAATAACGACCCTGCTGAGACACACAAGTTCATTACCCAGTTCCTCGACTCCCCGGCAGGTGCGCCGTTCAACAACAACCCAGACGGCGGCCCAGGCGTCTTCATCTACAATGGCAAGCAGCCACTCTGCGGACTACAGCCCTTTGGCTTCGAAGCCGCCGAGCAAGTCGAAGAACTACTGGACCCTGACCACGGTGATCTGATTGTTCTACAAGCACGCCCCCGTGCTCCTTTCTCCGGGGGTTCAACCCCCGTTGGCGATCTACGCCGTGCACTACACGCAGCCTCAGTCTCAGCAGGCTTCAAGCCCGCTGCGACCGGATTCGACTTCCTCTGGGTCGTCGACTTCCCCCTCTTCTCCCCCTCCGTAGACTCAGAGCCTGGTCAGGGCGGCGCAGCAGGCTTCTCCTCCACACACCACCCCTTTACCGCACCTAAGACCCCCACCGACGTCGATCTCCTCCTCACAGACCCCACCAAGGCAGTAGCTGACCACTACGACCTCGTCGTGAACGGCGTCGAGCTAGGCGGTGGTAGTCGTCGTATCCACGATGCAGCAGTGCAAGAATTCATCTTCCGTGATATTCTGAAAATGCCAGCTGAGCGGTTGACCGACTTCTCGCATCTGCTCGATGCCCTCCGCTCTGGCTGTCCGCCGCATGCGGGTCTTGCGCTGGGCTTTGATAGACTTGTCGCTGTTATGCTCGGCAAGGAATCCGTGCGTGACGTGATCGCTTTCCCGAAGACTGGTAAGGGGGGGTGATGATGCCATGGTTGGTGCCCCCAGTCCCATGACCGAGGAGGCATTGAAGACCTATCACCTGCAGCTGAGGAAGTAGATATTGCCTGATGCCACTGGCGATTGTATATCACATTGTCCTTGTGGACTATACATTTTGTACTATATCGATGTACTATACTTCGTACCCGAGTTTCATTCGCATTTATCTAGGAAACTCTATAATTCTCTTCTCAACATCAACTACGAAGCCAAACAATGTAAAACGTACACCGTACTTTGTATATGTTGTAGTCGTATCAGGGGGTTGCGCCCAGCTTCTTGGTGGAGTACGATACCTGAGACATTCTAGAGCCACCCCTGAGCATCGGCCGGGTCCCACTGAGAGTTCAGGAACTCCCTGGTACAATTCCTGCGAGTATTCTCCGCCCTTCCTGGACCTCTTTTTAGGGCTTCTCTCGCAGGATTTGGGGTCCAACGGCTAAATTTCCTCATTGAGTGCTAATTGACTCATTTTTGAGAACATCGCAAAATCCTGGACTATAACAAGGTTTGGCCGGCCTTCATTTAACTCAAACCCTAAAAACCCTGTGTCTCAGGACTTTTGTGGTAGATCCGTCACATCTTCACATATAGCACTTCGTTTTACATGGATATAGGAAATAGATACATCAGCTGAAGATAATTTCGAGATGGTTTGTATAAACTAGAATACCTTTGTTGGGGGATAATTTGACCTTTTATCTGACTTTCATGTTAAGATCTGAACACAGAAAACGGGAGGCCCCGGGATCCTTTGAAGATCTCTTGGATGTCTTGGATCTCTTGTAGGGCTACTCCGTGTGTTCACCAACTGTGCCGGGACTAAAAATGGTATATCCCCCCACAACAGCCACAACAGGGGTCCAAGGATGAAACAGGATCCCCGTTTCACTATACTTTTAGTTTAAGACATTCTCCGAATATACCGTCCTTCCGAGGTAAATCCGATTCCAAGTGCCGAACAACACAACAAATACAAGTATATAAGAATGAATTATTCCTCTCGACTATGTTATATTCCCATTCATTCACTCCAATCTTCCATTCATTCATTCATTATTCTACACTGCAGAGCCGGTCTCTCAGATTCATTCTTTGACAAATATACTTCCCTCGTTTCAACATGAAGTCTACTATCATCCTCGCCTTGGCTAGCATGGCCATCGCAGCCCCCACCCCCCACCATCGAGAACCGCCAGCTGCCCGGTCTCGGTTCCAGCACTGGAACCAGCAGTGGACTGGATGCCCTGAAGTCTCTCATCCCAGGGCTCTCGGGGTCTGGTACCAGCTCCGATGCCTCTAGCTCCACAGGCACCTCCTTGGGCAGTGGACTCAGTGGACTTAGTGGACTCAGTGGACTTAGTGGACTCAGTGGACTTAGTGGACTCAGTGGACTCAGTATTCCCAGTTTGCCCAATTTGAGTAATATCCCCTACCAACCCACCTCAGCATCCAAAACCCCAATGCTAACAGTCAATTCCTAGGCTCTGGCTCTTCGACCGAGAACGGTGTCACCGAGAATGCCGGCTGCAAGGAGTACACCTTCATCTTTGCTCGCGGAACTACCGAGATCGGTAACATGGGCACAGTCATTGGACCCCCCCTCGCCAAGCAGTTGAACTCCCTGACCGGCGACAAGGTCACCGTGCAGGGTGTTGATTATCCCGCGGATGCAGCGGTATGAGAACCCCTTCCTTTTCCTGTCTTCAGTACTTGACTTGGCTTTGCTTTGTGTACTATTGTCAAGATCAACGAACTAGATCTATCAAACTAACACTCCTATTCGAACAGGGTAACGCAGTGATGGGTGCAGCCGGCGGTCCCGCCATGGCTAAGCTCGTCAAGCAGGCTCTCAGCCAGTGCCCTAAGACCAAGGTCTTGTTGGGTGGATACTCCCAGGGTGCCATGGTCGTCCACAATGCTGCCCAAAGCCTCAGTGCTGACCAGATTACCGCTGCTGTTCTTTTCGGTGACCCACTCAAGGCCCAGAGTGTCGGTCAGGTTGCCAGTGATAAGGTGAAGGAGTTCTGCCACCTTGGTGACCCTGTCTGCCTCAACGGAGTAAATGGCATGGCGCATATTACTTATGGTACTGATGCTGCAGCCGCTGGAAAGTTCTTGATTGAAGCTGCCGGTGGTGCTTCTACTTCTTCCTAGGTTGATGTCTGTTTGAGGTCGATTGGAGTGGTGGTGATGTGGAGTGGGTGGCTCGAATAACATGTGGGATAATTTCCGTAGGAGAATCAGTGTCAATACATTCACCTATTGGGAGTTCTGTTTCAATGAGTAGACATGGGAAATGTGTACATACGCACCGGATTTTGAATCTTCGCCAGGCTACCATACGGAATCATACGTGAAAACGACATAACTACTAACAAGCAATCTCGGGCGGACGGCGATGCTCCGTCTCCCAACTATTTCCACGTAAATAATAGTCAGGAACAACCATCATGCCATTGAACGGGACCTTTATCCACCTCATATCTTCCAAAGTACGCCCTTCCATCGCTTCATGCTCATCCCCAACCCTTTCCCCTTGATTGTACGGGTCATACTCCTCCCAGTCCCTTCGAATAAGTCGCACAAACCCCGCCTCATTATCATGGGTGAGGACAGAGTCTAAGATATCCTGCATAATCTGTAGACGGTACCTATATCGATCCGACCACAACAGCACCGGGCTAGTACCCTGTTCTTGTTGCACTGTGGTTGTTACCCACTGCTCAAAACGGTGTCTATTTAGTGCAAAAAGTAATATTTTACAATAAGGGGTAGATAGATCTATAAGGAGGAAGGAAGATATATATAGCTTTATTTCTATATATAAAGAGATTAGACAGTTTTATAATTTCAATTCTCTACACATCGTGAAAGACTCATTCCAAAGTTCTTACATGCTTTTAGTATACTTTGTAGCATATTATGCAGCAATGGGTGCTATATGTAAGAAGGGGGCTTGGAGGTGTATAGTTGAGGAAGCCCTAGTCAGTGTATATGTGGCCATCTCTAGTACATTTCTGACAGTTTTTATTTTAAATAGGTGCCCTTACGGCAATGACAATTAATATAATATACATCTCGCCATTAAAGAACTTAGAGAAGTATTCATAAGCGATCTACAAGTTTTATGGCGGAACATAAATTCCGCTGATGGACGACATTACACATCTTCATTCTCAGAGACTTTTGGAAAATTCTCAATTGTGGCTCCGCTTACTATGGGCTGATAAATCTCCAATTCGTCTTTCTCCATTTTGTATACATTGTACTCTAAATCTACACTTTTTCCGTCCTGCCCAAGGGCATTCTTCATTGCTTCCCATTCTACATCATGGCTCCCGGTAAAACCAAGGTGCTTTTTACCGGAGCCACCGGTTATATGTAAATTCTCTCTGATTAATTGCATAGGAGATTCCACTAACTCAATATTAGAGGAGGTTCAGTCCTGGAAGCTCTATTGACTTCTCAAATCGAAGTACTCCGAGACGAGATCGTTATCAGCGCACCGGTTCGAAAGCAAGACCAAGCGCAGATCTTAGAGTCAAAGGGTGTCAAGTCCTTTGTTTTCAATGGCCTGGATGATACTGCTCAGATGGAAAACCTATCCAGAGAGCATGATGGTAAATGTCTACTACCTGTGATGATGTTAATGCCATGGTAAAACTGACGTCCCACTTGCAGTGGTCATCCATACGGCTTCCACCATGCACACGGAGGCAATTGAAGCCATGATTACTGGATTGGCAGGTAGAAGGGAAGCCACTGGAAGTAAGGTCTTCTTTATACACGTATGACACCCCATTCCTACCGCAAACTTCTCTTACTGGCCAGCAAATCGAAGACTGCGGGAACAGGCAGCTTGGCAGATCGTCCAATTACAGGTTCCCTTGTAGAACACCGGATCTTCTCTGACAAGTCTGATAATATTTACCAGTACTTAAAGGACCGGCAAGAGATAGAAGATTTACCTGTCCGTCGCAGTGATGTGGCGATCGTCGAAATCGGCCGCAGACTTGCCGTTCCGACATTCATTCTGATGTCCCCATTGATCTATGGCGTGGGTACGGGATTGTTCAACAAGCTATCCATTCAAATTCCCGCCATGGCCCGTGGAGCTATCCAAGCACAGCGAGCTGAGGTCGTGGGTGATGGGTCGCAGCGTTGGGGTAATATCCACATCGCCGATCTCGGTGATCTTTATGAACTGCTCCTCTCCAAAATCCCACTCGGTGACAACATTTCGTCTGGGGAAAATGGCATCTATTTCACAGTGGCGGACGAGCATATGTGGATGGATATCGCGAAAGGAATTGCTAGCGTCGGTAGTGCAACCGGCACGTTGAAATCTGGAGTGGAATCTGTGTCACTGCAGGAAGCTGCAGATAGGTGGATGAATGGGAATACTATATTTACCGAAACTGTTTTTGCATCCAAGTATGTTCAATGTTGCTCTTCTATTTCTATCAAGTGGAGACTAATAAATTCCCCCAGCGCATGGGCGAGATCTGATCTGGCAAGGGAACTGGGCTGGAAGCCGAAGTTTGATGCGTCTCATCTTCAGTCCGCCATCGAGGCAGACATGAAGGCTATTTTGGGATAGAGGTGCATCAATCGAGCTTTGGAAGCGGAACATTCGACAGGAAACATGCCATGTTGAACATCCGCAGGTATCATCCGACATCTGCAGCTCACCATATTCTTTGACAGCTACGTCTCTGATTTTCAATGGACATGGCCTCTTTTCGAAACTGGATCAACAACCATATTGGAAGTCGTCACATCCAATCCAGGAGAGTGAGACGGTAGAAAATTGGAGTTGTTAGGCGCGGCCGCGGCCTAAAATCTGGTACATGCGGCTACATATAGGGGAAGGGTGTTATACAAAGTGAAAAAAAAGGAAACGCCACTCCAAACCGCTGTATAAGACAAAATCCCAGAACGACAATGTGGTTCGAATGAACAAGGTGAGGTAACCCAGGTAGATGAATGAAAGTGGAGATATCTAGCACGAGAGACATGTGGTTCAAAGCTCATGCAGTGGACAAAGTACTTGTCCGGGTTGATGGAGCACGGGATGATGCAGCATCTTGGAGCTTAGCCTTCTCGCCTTCCAACTCTTCTTCATCCTCATAGTACAGATACTCCTCATCATCTTCATCGGCTTGCCCGAATATATTCCTCCAAACGCCATCCCAGAGACCCTTCTTAGTCACTAGGCCGCCGACCAGGATAATAGGCAGTTGCCAGATACTGGCCCAGAACAGGCCACGTGCAGTGCCGTTTGCACCCTGGTGTTGGTAGAAGCGGTATGCCTCGCGGACTAGCCAACCATTGGCGAAAGTGCTACTAACAAGGAAGCCATGTCCGACGACATTGACCCACCAGAGACCAATAGAGATGGGGAACATCAGAATAGAGTAGCGCAGGGCAACCCGAGCATTGCAAGCTGGGTTCACCCAGCACAGCATCCTGTAGCCAGCTGCCTTGTACTCATCCCGAATCAGGTGGGACAAGGCGTTGAAGTGGGGGAATTGCCAGGCGAACAAGATTGCACCTAGCAGCCATCCTCCAATGCTATCTTCGCTGAAGAGCATGTCGCGCCATGTGTCATGACCAATTGTCGCCGTCTGGCCTGCTGCGGCGATCCATCCCATGAGTGGGGGGATAAGACCCACGACCGCGCCAACCCAGGTATTGATTACGTGGATTCGCTTCAGTGGTGTGTATACAAAAGCATATAGGAAAATATTGGCAGCTGATAGAGCGGTAGTTGTCGGGTTGGTCCCAATATAAAGGAGAGAGAGGCCCGTGATGGCGGTGCCAATCGCGAAGAACAGAGCTCCCCGGCGCGAGATAAGTCCGCGCACAATAGGACGATTACGCGTACGGGACATGAGTGCATCGTATTTCGGTTCGAACATCATGTTCAGCGTATTGGCGCTGCAGCAAGAGAGGAAAGTGCCCACCGTGAGGTATATTAAGGTCAGGGTCGAGGTCGAAAGTGTGGGGAGTGGGGTCATGGCCGGGTCGAGGGTGAGCAGGGACGAAATTGGGTACATCCCATATGCAGAGGTGGTGGTGAGTACCACCAAGAAGGACAGTCGCGGTTTCGTCAGGGCGAAATATGCGGCAAACTTGCGGCGGAGGGAGGTAGTGGGGAGTGTGGATGAGAAGTTGGACAATTGCGCTGAGGCATCGAGAGGGAGGCTATGTTCTGGTTGTCCGGTTGAATTGCTTTCCTCCTTCAAGCGCTTCCGCCGCCGATGTGGCAGCTCCTCTGGTATTGCTTCTGTCGCAGTCGCGGCGGACGATGCGGTTGCAGACGAATTGACCTGACTGGAGTCTGGATCGCTGGGAGATGAAGAAGCAGTTGATTTGCTTTTCGCATTGGAGGTCGCAAGGGAAGACAGTAAGCCGCCTTTGCTATTTGATCCGTCGTAGAATCGATTGGCCGAGAAATATGATTTGTGGAATACTGAAGGGGACTGGTCATCCGCAGTCCGGGTCCGCCGTTTCGAGGATGATAGGAACCCCCGAATGGCCCCGGGGCGCACAGAACGAGGCCCGAAGAGACATTGTGAGCACACAAGCGCCTCTCGAGGCCTCCGTAGAATGGGTGGCCGCAGAGGGATCATGGCGGGTCGGTCATGCAGAAGGAAGAAAAGTGGACGAGAGAAGTTGAATTTCCCCGGTGGTGCACGGGCCACATCCGTTCAACTGGGAATGTCAACAAATTATTCTTCGAGACATTGCCTGATCCAACACTGTTCCCTCCTTTGCTGATAATTTGCATTCATTATGGATACCATTCAGAACACAGTGATTACCCCTCTTCAGCCTTATTTGGCGCCTATTGTCTCGGCTATTCCCGAGCCAGTGCACGATGCCGTTGTGTCCTTGATTGGAAAGTCTTGCCACGGTGCACTGTTGGTCGATCTCGATGTCACTAAGGACCCTGCTTGCACATCACTGGCCATCTCCAAGGCCCTTGGTATTGCCATCGTCGGTGCCAGTGCAGTCGTCAAAATCCCGCAGATTCTGAAGCTGATCAACTCCCGCTCCTCCGCCGGTGTCTCATTCGTCTCTTACGCCCTCGAAACCGCTAGTTTGCTCATCACCCTCTCGTACGGCGTGCGCAACCAGTTCCCATTCAGCACCTATGGCGAGACTGCTCTCATCGCCGTCCAGGATATCGCTATCGGTGTTCTGGTCCTGAACTATGCCGGACGCTCCGCCGCCGCCGCGGCTTTCATCGCTGTCGTAGCTGCCAGTGTCTATGCGCTGTTGTTCGACCAGACTCTTGTGGATGCCCAGACTATGGCCTACCTGCAGGCTGGTGCTGGTGCTCTGGGTGTTGCTAGCAAGGCCCCTCAAATCTACACCATCTGGCGCGAGGGAGGAACTGGACAGCTTAGCGCATTCACAGTACGATTCTCTTTTCCCTTTAACATGATCTCCGCTCAGGCACTAATTGCTTTTTCTAATCAGGTGTTCAACTACCTCCTCGGATCTTTGTCGCGAATCTTCACAACCCTCCAGGAAGTCGACGACAAGTTTATCCTTTACGGATTTATTGGTGGTTTCTCCCTTAATGTGATCCTCGCTCTCCAGATGCTCTGGTATTGGAATGCCCCGGCGCCCAAGCAGAAGGCCGCCGCTCCTCGCCCAAAGGCAGTTGAGAAGGCACCATTAGCCCAGAGCACGGGAGCCTCTCCCAGATCTAGCGTGAAGACACCCACCACCCGCCGCCGGGGTTAGATAGCCCAGCGAATTCTCCCCCTCGCTTTTTTCGGGTTTGGTTAAAATAATAATAATGCCGTCCGTTTTTGGAACCATGCAATTGTAGGAACAAGCTACGAGAAGTTGTATTCATGGGGGAAAACCCATAGACCAAGTAGCACCGTAAACACAGACCACATGTCCCGAGTCAAGACCATCAAGCCCCTAGAGATCGCAAGACTACGGCATGCGCCCAGTCGTCATATGTCGCAAAATAAGATCCAACGGCACAAACGGCTGCACAGGATGCGGCTGATGAGGAGCAATATTGTACTCCAACTCCGCAGCACCAGGCTTCCGATGAACACCAACAACATCCATCTCCTCTCCATCCCCTTCCTCCCCATCACTTTCCTCTTCGGAGCCATCGTCATCCTCCAACTGCCTCCTCAACCCAGTAACAACATTCTCAATCCCAGCCTCGCGCTCCTCAAGCGTATAATTCCCACCCCAGTTCCTCCTTCGCGCTTCCTGATTCGCCTCCAGTGGCGCCCATTCCCATAGCTCCGCGAGCTGAGCTTCGCTCAGCGGTTTGTGCGCGGCATCGGGGTCGGAGAAATTAGATTGTCCTGCGGCGGGCTCTGTACCAGCCGTGCGGCCACGCGCAACCCAGTCTTCAACACGGGGATCGAGTTTTGTGCGGAGGAGCTGTTCCAGGATGTTTGCCTGTGTTCGGCCTGGGTATTCTGGGCCTGGGTAGGCGACTAGGTTGGAGAGGAGGTCGCGCTGGTCGGAGAGTTGGTCGGAGACGCTGATGAGGTTGTTTGAGATGATGCTTGCTTGAGATTGGAGAGAGGTCCTGGTTTTTTTTGGTTAGTTTGATGGAATTGGATACTTATTGGCTTATTGTATTTGGCTGCTTGGGTCTGGGAATGGGATTGGTTGGAGAGGATGGTAGAGAGAGCTCTTACCAGGGCGGAAGAGGGTCGCTTTGGTTTAGACTTGCGATCAGTGAGCCTAGTGAGCGTGTGAGCTGCACGAGACGCTGTCGCGATTGCTCGAGGACTTTGATTTGCTCCTGGGTTAGGTTGGACATGGCTGGTTGAATTGTTTGGAAGGTCAAAGAGCTCTCCAATGTGAGGGGAAGAGATAAAAGTGTAGATCAACGGGGAGAACCTGAGAGTCCTCCAGCTGACTTGCCTTACCCCAATTTTCTTACTTTTCCTCAATTACCAGTTCAATTTTGTTCCTAAATACTATATCTCTAGTTGAATTGGAACGCTTTTAATTTATTGATTCTATCTTAAAACAATTTACAAAATACCCAGGTGCACAAGTGACAGTGCTCAATTACACTTAACTGGGCATACCGCTAAGCACTCAGCGCCACGCCCTCCAACGCCTCCAAACCCCCATAATCAAACCCAGAAAATCACATCACAGTTTACAAATCCAAAAATAACCTCAAGATCGACCATCCCACCTCCCATTGGACCCTTGGACCCTTGGCGGTGCGTGCTGAAACGCCTGCAGAGTAGCCAACCAATCTGCAGCAACACTGGACCACAAAAGCCCACTTCCAAGAGGGTATATAGCCGATCATCTCGTATTATCTGACAGTTTGGCTTGCGTAGGTTTTGCCTGTCCCGTTGTTGGCATTGCTGGGCGGCTTGTCAATGCTATTTTCGGATCTGTAGTATGTGTGTATGTGGGTATATTTAGGTTATAGAGGGGGGTGATAATTGATACATAAGTCCCTTTGCCGCCCTTCCTGGTGATGCTGGATGCTGTTCTTTTGTCTCTTGTTTTCTTCTCCTTCTTCTATTTTAAGTAAAACGTTGTGCTTTACCAGGAATCTTTGGGTGCTGCACATTTTCTTTCTCTCCATTTGACTATTGACTATACTATATACGCCAAAGACATGCAGACATTGCAAGATGTCGGGGATATATTGACGCGATGGAGCAGAGTAACTCCATAAAACAAGAACCCAAACGCCGTCAACAATGGGGTGAGCTGATATCCTGATCTCATTACATCCAAGCCACAAACTGACTCTGCTATCCACAGACATTTCATCAATGCTATACAGCAACAAGGTAAACACAACTAGGTACAGGTTGTCATAACGATCATTGCCACTGCTGGGGGTTCTTTTGATCTGGATCAAAGGTCTGAGGGTGAACAGGTACCTGACCATGCTGACCCTTTTGATCCGGCTCAAATACCTGAGTGTGAGCAGGGACCTGATCATGCTGCTGATACTGTTGTTGAGCATACTGTTGTTGCTGGTACTGCTGCTGAGGAGATTCCTCGATAATGTCCTGCGAGAAACCAGACTTATCCTGACCCTGGAAGTGCTGCTGGTACTGTTGGTTTTGATAATGTTGGTTGTGGTGGCCATACGCAAGCTCCTGTCCACGGCCATCATTATCAACAAAGCCAAACCCAGATCCATGCCCATACCCGCCAGAGTTATACATCTGCTGCTCGGCCCAGGCTTGCTGCTGCGCGCTGGTCGGCGATGCACCGTTCCAGTGGTTGTACGGGTTAACCGTCTGCCGGTTCCGACGGGTCTTCTTGCGTCGGTGCCGTATGAAGAAGAAGCAACATAACGCGAGGGACGAGACCAGGATTAGGAATCCTACGATTGGCACGGCGATCACCACTCCCAGATCTAGTTTTGAGATTTTGGAAACGGGCGTTGTGAGAGAGAGACTTGAGGGGAGGAGGGATTGGGTGAAGATTCTTGTTGGGGTTATGTCGAATGCCTTGCCCGTTACTGTCTTGAAATGGCAGTTGTAGCGGATGGACTCGAGGACTGGATTTGGAGGATGGTTAGTTGTGGTTTCTTTGGATTTGCTGATATCATATTGATACAGGAATGGGTTGCAGGGCATACGTACAGTTTGCCATGTAAACTTGGGTGGTTGTCAAGTTGTAGCAGAACTCGCAGGTGTTGACGACGTTATCTGCGAACGACGGTGTGTCACACCACGAATCCAGGTTCGATGTATCTGGGTCTTCAAGGTTGGTTTCGACTGCTAAACGCACGCCATCGCATGCAACCGGGCACGGAGACGAGACATTTGAGATCGAGTCTGGAGATCCAAATACACAGGTCGAAAAAGCGTAGCGCAGGTTATCTGGTTCGATTGGTTAGATCTGAGCGACAACCCGCAATTTGCGATCTTTGGAAGATGGTACGACATACAGAGTCCCCAGTTCACATCCGATTCTCCAGTGTTCGCGTCGTTGAACTTGCTGTCCAACTGGCAGGTGATGCATTTTTGGAAACTTTTCCCTACTGATGATTGATTGTACGATTGATCCAAACACGCAATCTCGGAAGATGTAGTGTTGGCCGTAGTACCGCACACATCTGTACAGGGCGAACCCGGTGTGGTTTTCAACCCGAAAACCACTGGAGCTGGGCTATTCAACAAAATCGCAGCCAGGACGAAAGCCAGCATCCTGGAGGACCTTGAACTTCTGTCACTTAGCCCGAGCATGATGAGCCGGAGTGAACAGAAAGTTCAATAGACTTCTTCTGTTCTTACAGCGACCGCCAAAGAGGTGGGATGGGAGTAGGCAGAGTGCCGGATAAAACGATCTCACGATCGCATGAGAAACAGTAAATTGCAACTTATGATTCTGAGTTTTTTCTCGGGGCGGGAAAGCTTCTTTTTTCACTGCGAGCAGCTCTCGCTCCGTTCCGTTTGGATGTGACGACCAGGCGGAGTGATTTAGTCGAAAGAGCTAACAGGACAGGGAAGTACTGCACAATCCAAGCACCTGCAGAGCTGCTAATGCTTGGGCGAAGGAACGGAAGGGATGCGCCGGTCGAATCAGGCACATTCTCTTCCTCCCAACGTTGGTCCTCAGCGCTTAGAGAACGCCGCCTACAGGCTGGTTGGTGACTGCACGCTAGCTATGGGAATCGAGGAACGGTTGGTGGGGATGGGGTGATCGCCCCGTCATCCTGCTTCCAGTAGATATGCTGCAGGCGTACAGAGTGTGATGGGCTCTGACACTTGATTGGTGAGTGGTGGTTGTGACTGTGATTCCGTCTGCATGATGCACGGGCGCATATTCACCCCCTCATCTGAGTAAAATCGCAAAATCCGGTCACGACTTGTTGGAAACGGGTGTCGGCATCTCTCGACTGGAAAAGAGAAAAAAAAGTATTTGAAGTTTTGATCTGCCAAGGGACCCCCTCTTGTTAGGGCCGGGAGAGGAGGGGACTCCGGATTTTGAAGTAAAAGATCCACCCTAAGGGTATAGAGATACCGGTACTAACTATGTATGTTGTAGTTATGTACAGATGTAAATTTTCCTGATATTCGGTGCAAATAATTATATGAAGTAACTCAAATTGCAAATAAAACCGCCATAATGCAAAACAATTAATAAATCAAATTGAGGCGAATCCAGTCCAACGGGCGACCACAGGTCTTCCGAACGGGGCTGGTTCGAACAAGATTGATTGGTTACGCCCAGAAGAATAAGCAACAAATAAACCACCACATATAGACTTCTAGTTGAACAGAGAGTTTCTTCAGGACATATCAACCATAGAGCTCATCATAGGAAGGCACCATTTCCTGTCGAGGCGCAGGCTCGGGTTCCCGCTGTTTTGTACGGGGAGGGTATCTTTTCTCTGGGAAGGGAGGGTGCTTTGGGGTATTGTATGCAACGCGAGGTGTAGAGGGTGGCATAGAGGGGGCAGAGATAGAGGATGCAGCGGTAACACTCGTTCGTCTCGAGTTGGTACCACCAGATATAGATCCTGTGGGTTCTGTTGCACAGCTTTGGAGGCTGCAACGGCGCATGCGTGAAGTCACAGCAAGCGGAGGAGACTTGGCTGGGATATCGAAATCTTCGGAATCGTCGCGTGTTCTGTGCAACATCTCTCCCATGCCGTATTCTCGGGGGCTTAATTCAATTCGTGGGCCCAGAGTATCTCGTTCTTCCTCTTCTTCTTCATCGCATGACTCATCGGTAGTGCATTCGTCGTGGATGATAGAGCTCGAGGGTCGGCGATTTGGTCCATGCCTGAGATCACCGAGGCCGAGTCCTTGCCCTGATGGTGTATGGGATGGCAGTGTGTGTGGATCTCTATCTCCCACACGACGCCGTATGCTTTGGTCGAAATACCCAGTAGGGAAGGATGGAGTGTCTCCCACTTGGTGTTCTCGTGTGGCTGTGCTTCGCGATCGTCTGCTCGAGGCGCTAGAACTCGGCTGGCGTAATGGGCCGCCTGAGAGATATTGTTGATTTTCTTCAGAGTGTATGTCTGCCCTCGCCGGTGCATTCGTAACAAAACCAGAAGTTTGATCCCACTGATTCCAGGACCCTTGTGTGGGATAGGTGATAGAAACATCACCCCAGCGAGAGTGGAGTTCTGTGGACACTCTGCGCTTCCTTTTGAACTTCTTCATAAAAGTCGCCATGGTCTTCAACCAATTCTTCATGGGAGCTAGAAGAGTGACGCGTTCAGAGTTCAAATTTAGCAAAGGGAGGACAAATCACCCCCTAGTGCGGTGCTCATCTCAGAACTTATGAAACTCCCCACAGAGAGCATGGGTTCTTTCCCCAAGGCAACAACTCAAGCGCAGCAGACAGACAAAGAGAGATAGAGAGAATGTGGCCAAGGCAGACAGATCGCCCGCATGTGTTGAGGTTATATCAAAACGAGACGTCCATGGAGGCACACTAACCAACCACTGCATATCCGTTGGTAACCAAGAAGAGTGAAGATCTTCCAAATGAAGTGCCTGACGGGGATGGTGTTAGTAGCCAACCGACCCAGCGAGTGATTAGAGACCTGGGAGAAACCCGGTGGTCTGGTACAACCCCTCTGCTGGTGGTCCCGGGGGCAGAATCTAAGAATCGAGACAATACTGTATCTCGCAGAGACAACAGCGCCTCGGGAAAGAAAAAAAAAAAAAAAAAAAACCCCAGCGAGATGCAGGGCTAACAGTTGACCGGCTGAAGGTCCAGGCAGGTCGCCGAAAATGAGAGGCTCCCATAGCTGCATCGTGGGTAGAAAATGCATGTGGGAGGGGTAGTTACGACCCCTGTTCCCTCTGGTCATTCTCAGCGAGATATTTAGTTAGTTGCGAGGTGCGGCGCAGTGAACTTGCGTGGACAGATTGACGCGGGTCGGCCACAGGCTGCATATAGTGTGTCTGTATTAACGTACCCTTGTCGTTCGTCGTCTTGGCATGGCGCTTGTCTAGGGATCTGCACTCACAAGAACAAAGACCCTCGATATGATGATCGGATTTGGGGCTAGATAATTTGAGTGGTAGATTTATCTCCTGAATTCAGGGATCACAATGCAACAACGGACATGATAGAGACATTGAAGCAGCTTCTTCTTGACCAGTCATTTGCTAGCATCGACGAGGAAGGGAAAAATACCAGGTGAAAGACAGGGATCAAAAGAGGGGGTAGCCCCCCTCCCAAGGCGAAAAACTCGAAAAAGTGCAAAAAGGCGTAAAAAGGCGTAAAAAAGCACTGTTTCACTGTGACGCATCTGAATCCCTGCAACGAAGTGGAGTTGAAGGGCCAATATTCACAGTTGAGTTGGCGTAAATGAAGTGTACAGAGCAGACAAAGTACCTGAAGGAATGTGCGCTTTCTGAAAGAGGAATTATTAGAGACCAGGACCTAAGGAATGATCAATTTCGAGGTAGTTGAGCCGGAGATACTCCGTTGATGTACTGTAGGCGCCGAGAAAGAGTGAAAAGGGGAAATTTCCGGGATGATCGATATTGGAGATCATAGCACAGACCAGGTGTCTGCCAATCTACAAAGTATTTTACTATGTTGTATGACAATGACAACCTTTTCACCGGTTAATGAAGGCTGATTTTCGAAGAAAACTTGAATAAATCAAAACATAACCAAATAACAAATATCCACCCCCCGTCACATTTTCCGAAAAAGAAAGCGCCATGTCGTGATAGTCGTAAAAACAAGAAAACAAGCCCAAGCCACTGTCACAATTTCAACGGAAATTGGTGATCAGCCGCGACAAAACGGGTTTAGGTTGTTTTGGGATAGTCTGGCCCGACGGCATTGGCTCAGATGCACTCCTCTCCCTCCCGTCCCTGCGTTCCTGTCTGTTCGGCTCCGGTGGAGGTGGCATAGCTGCCTGCTGCCTCGACCTATTTGGAACAGCTACAGGACCAATTGGAGGCCCATAGTCCGCCATTGAAACCGGACGGGAGGTTGCTAGCCTGGCGTCACCGTAGTGAACTGCACTCAGGCGGGAAGAGGGACCGGGGTGTGGATTGGCATGATTGGTGGGGTTATAGGTATAGGTGTGGGCGTTAATATCGCCCACCATGGACGTTGGCCGAATAGGTTGATATCGTGACGGATCATATGTTGGCAGTGTGGGGTATACTGGAGGTTGATCATATGAAGGCCGAGACAGTTGCTGTTGGTACTGTTGCGCGTACTGGGCCTGGCGACTGTAGTCCGGCGCGAAGGTGGACAAGGGCCGGGGTTGAGAGTGGAGACCTCTGGGTGTGCCTAGTTCGTCCGTTTTATAGGCTGGCGGAGGTTCAAGAGGAGAAAAATCCTCGGGTTGTTGGGCGTTTCTTCTTCTGGCCCGTTCTTTTCGCGAGAAGAGATATAGTAAGCTTCCAGTCACTAGTTTAGGTTAGCTTGCTTCTGGTGGGTTGCGGCTCCGGCTGCATACTTGCTAGGAAGATGAGGCTGCCAGCTATCGCGCCAATGATAATCACGGGGGTGCGAGAAGAGTAGTTGTTATCAGAGCGGGGGTCGAGAGAAGAATTAATTGACATAGCCCAATATTCAAGGATGATTCAACGTAGATGTGTTTGCCGGGAGGACATCCAAGGTATAGATATCCAAAGTAAACAAAGAAATGAAGTCAAGACAGGTTTGAGCTCCACGATCTTGTATTAAGACCAGAAAGGCTTTTAGAATTGAGCCTCAATTCTGTGGATGCTAACAACAACCCATGCTTTGAAACTGCGAGGATCTAGATATATAAGACCCTGAAACGGGACAAGGAAGCTTAGTGCCATCCTGACACACGGTCCCTGTTTCAAAGATATTTTGAGCGACTCGCGGGGGAAAATAAAGATAGTATCAATTAGCTATAGATAGATTCGCCCAAAGGTGACAAAATTAGCCAGCATTAGTTCAATTAACCTGCATAAACGGCCTAATTTGGTGGGCTAGCCCCTCGTAAATGCGCCTTAATTTCTAAATTAAAACTGCTGCATCAGCGAACAAATCACATTCGTGCATTTGCCGTCACCAACAATCTTGTTGTACATTAACTGGTTCGTCCAAAGCGCGTGGTAATCAGCAAATAATATTCCCCGATTAATCCAACACCACTGTGCAGAGTTATATATAAATGAAAAGGGTATCACCGCTTGTTCGCCCGAGATTATGAAAGATCTACAAGGTGTGATGAGTTGTTCATCAGTTGACAGTGCTCTGGTATAGTCCTCGTCTCCCTATTTTTGATTTGATGGGTCTCTTACCAGATATGGAAACCTTCACAGGGCTTCAACGCCCGCATACAACAAATCTAAAACAGCGCAAGCCCTACTTCAATCTTCCAATCCCCATTTTTCAAAAAAAAAAAAAAACAAGTATTCTCTTTTTTCAATAACATACAATTTATACCCTTTATCTCCATCCCCTCCCTCTCAAAATGACTCACTAAAAACCCCCCACCTGAGCCTCTTACAGCCACCTTTACTCCGCATACGCCCGATAAACCGCCATGCCCTTGTCAGTCCCAAAGTCCAACGCAATACCCTGCCCCACAAAGAAAACATATCCCTCCTTTAACTCAGCGGTCTGATTACCAGGGAATTTCATATGACCATCACCCTTGGTAACAATCATCAAACTCGGCCCAAGAATGGCCTTGTGCGTCTCATTCTCCCCAGCCCCAAGAGTAGTACACAACACCGCAAATTCACTGATGGGCGGTGCATAAATATCCGTCTTGCCATTCAAGCCCTTGTCACTCTTTCTATGCGGCAGCAGCGCATCCTGCGCATTATGCGGTACAAAGCTCAAAGCCTGCCCGAACAAGTCAACGCTGTCGCGGTCTGCAACCGGACAGAACCCTGTGTTGATGACGTTGTCTGACCGCGCCATGCACTCCACGATATCACCTTCCAGGTAGGCGTGGATGCTGTCTGCGGGAACGAAGACGGAATCTCCCGGTCCCAGAGTCAGGTAGTTCATCAGCAGGGCGGCGACTAGGTTTCCGTTGTCGCCTTCGCCGTATTGCTTTGCTAGACGGCTGAGTAGACCGGGGATGTAGGTGTGTGCGCCGAACTGAGATTCGGGGATGGCTTGCAGATCTTTCATTGTCTGTGCGACTTCTTTGGGTGGAGCGCTTAGTAGAGACTTGCATACTTGGCGCAGGGTTTCGTCGTTGAATTTTCCGGATTTGGGGATGTACTTTGCTAGGTGGTTCAACTCGAACAGCGCTTGGATGTCTTTCAGGGGCTTCCAGCCAGCGAAGAGCTCGAATTTTGAGAGTGCAATTGCAATCTCTGGCTTGTGCATTGTGTCGCCATACTTTTCCGGCTGTTCTTTGTGTAGTTGTGCCGCGAGCTTCAGGTCTGGGTGGATTTGTAGGGGTAGCGCTTTGCTGAAAGATAGAATCTGGATCAATGTTAGTTTATCTAGGTGACCACACACTATAATTCTTGGCTTTTGCGCTTGCCTTCGGGAGGAATGGAATCTCTGGACCCCATCGGTCATGAACGGACTTGCCCACTAGCTCGGGGTGCTTCTTCAGATACTCTCCCAGGTGTTCGCCCGTCGAAAGGAGATAGGATGGGTTTGAAGGGTACGTGCCCAGCCACATCTACTCAAAGGTCAACATGACTGTGGCCTGTAGTATACAATAATTCTGAGAACCTTACCTCAGAATAATGCTTGGAGTCGTCAATTGCGCCATTGTTTGGGGTTTCAGACCATAGCTGGGCAACAATCGAATCTTTTCCTTTCTTCCCCCAGTCGTCGTTCTGTAAATCCAGGGTAAATAATTAGTATTGATATAAAATATCTGGGCAGAATATCCTTGCCTTGACACCACACCGTAGTTGGACTACTGCGTCTGCCATTGTGGTCAAAATGATATTGAGATATCGAGCTCTTTATTGTTAGTATTCAATTTTTAACGTTCAACTCGTCAACTTGATATTAAATCGTTTCAAGTCACTGCTTTTACGTGGAATTTTCTATTGGCTGGGGCAAAAGACGTTGATATGTCGTCATGGTGATATATGAAACCTGTCGCCCCTGACATGAAAATACCTGGCAACCGGTTATTTCAAAACTTGAATTAAATGATAGAATGGGGGAAATCCACCAATTGGAATGGTATGACGAAGTGCTTGAATTGCACGTCCCTGAGCGGCTAAGATTGAGCCAGATATAAATTCCAAGGTCGAATACCACCAAAACTTTAAGCTAAATTCACCAAAGCTACTTTAGAGTGAATAGTGAAAAAAAAATCAATGGTTTCATTCTGAGGCGCTATGAAAAGGCCAGTAACCACCAAAAACACCCAACACCGTGCAATGATGCTCAATAAAACCAAGACGTAACAACAACGGAAATACACATCGCCCATTATTCATAGAGATCGTCAGGATCAGGAACCATGGACATCGTCATAGACTTCGAGATCGAAGAAGCCCTCTTACTATCAGCTGCAACAAAAGGCGACGTCCGCCGTCTAGGTGGCAGCCCATAATTCCACCTAGAGCCGTCCGAGCTATCACGAAAACTAGTAGAATACAGACTGCAACGGTCATCCTCGTGATAGGTGCTCCCTCGGACAGTCGGAGTGTAATGGTCACGATCGCGACCGCTGTATCGCCGATCACTAGACTCGGACAACGAGCCGCGCCGCGAGTGGGGGCTGCGGGGCGAGTTGACAGACTGGCTGCGTGGAGTTTCAGCGCCCGAGCTTTGAAGGTACCGTCCGTTGGTCGGAATGTACCTAAAGCGGTTGTTGGGATGGGTGTTGTTATCGACTACTTCGGAGGTGTAGTCCTGCTGGATTGGTCGATATGCAAACTCATTTCGCCTTTGCTCGGAGCGCCGGGCATCTCTTTCTGTCTGTGATTCGCCCCGCAGTTGTTTCGGACGCGAGGCGAGGCGCACTGAGAGCCGACCCGGTCGCAGGCTTCCGAGGGAGAGTGAGCTGCGTCGCGAAACTGTTGAGGCTTCGCTGCAGACGCTTCTGGCGTCTTCGTCTTGGTCCTCTTCTTTCACTGGATGGGGATTCCGGCGGTCTTGCGGAGAGCAGTCGGGCACATAGCCGGGCCCGTAGGTTGATCTCTCTTTGGGAGGTCGATGGGGATTGTCGTATTGATTCCATGAGCCATCTGTGGGCACGGAAATGGACACATCCCCCCATCGAGCATGGAGAGGTTTTGCAGAGTCCGACTTGCGGAAGATAGATAGAGGTCCGTTGACAATTCCCGCCATGATTTCTGTGGGATCGTTGTGTGATGTCGACTCGTACTGCTCTGATATGGCCCCCCAGGAGAAGCAAAAGGTGACATTCGTCTAACGGGGGAGAGTAATAATCGAGTGGGGGAATTGTTGGACAGGGTTGATATTAATGCGTTCTAATGAGAACCAGCAAATGACCGGTGACGAGGACCAGCCGATAAGTCTGCAAGTTGGTAGAGTAACGGGATTTGGGTGGCTTTCAAGCAAATCCCCTTCTGCAATGCTACAGAAACAAATAAGTGGCTGAGACCACGGATTGGATAGTAGCCAGGATGACGATAACAAGGGTCTCGAGGGGCAATGGAGGGGTCGCCAATGAACTGAATCCTTGTAAAGAAGCAAGCTGAAAAATAACAAAAAGGAGGCAAATCAAAAGCAAATCAAAGCAAGCGCAAGTCCGCCAGGGACTTCAAGTCAATCTGAAACTGAGAATGAAAAACCTTCATTTCAGCGGAAGGGATCCGGATATAAAGCTTGGTCTCAAGATGGGGCCAGTCTAAGACCGCTCTAAGCAATGTGTAAAGCGCTTTGTGCCAGTTGGAGATCTCATTGTAGCTGTTGACGCCACCGACCAATAGGGCTTGGGCGTTACCGCCGAGAGGTGATGCAGAGATCTACACTCTGCGTTTGACAGGGGGATTGTTCAAATGTTCCTTAATTAGTTCGCATATCGGCCACTTTGGGTCTTAAAATAGATGTCAATTAGCTGCAATTTACGTTGCTAGCTTGCAGCATGCATAAAGTACCGTACCTTCGGGAAGTGTTCGTCGACTTCAATTCTTCCTATATCCTATTTAATCTCTATTTTGGATGTTTTCTATAATATAATGTGTCGGATTACTTTCGCTTTGAAACATTTAATCAATAACTCCTATAAAGTTTCATTTGAGAATCTCTATTTGGTGCTCTTTTCATTGCTTTATTTTATGCTAAGCAATTACTTTCGATGCTACGCTAAATACATGCACGACGAATGTAACCCACCATGAATAAACCCAGCTAATTAACGATATTTATAGAAATTCTCATTAATGCGAAACTGTACTTAATGTATGTACTGACTAATGCATGTGCTCTCGGGTTACCAACCCTACATATGCACTCTAGCGCTAGAATTTGAAATTGTATACAAGCATCAAGGACAAGCTCAAAGCCGAAAATCAAACCCCAGGCCGATTTTGGTCTTTTTAGTGGGTTTGAAGGCAAGGAATGCAAAAATAAGAAAACAGGCGCTTATAGAAATACCTCCCTTATCCTGTTCGGAGCGTAGATTCGACCGAGCTTCCGTCTAAAGGTAACTCGACTAAAACAGAAAGCCGACCAAAAATATTTTCTTGTGGCGGATCGTGTAGTATAGGGTCAATATCGGGACCAGGTTTAGGTCCGTACCTATTCACATTCCTCGTTCGAGTCGTATTCGAACTTGACCGTATATCTAGTGAAGTGTCCGATGGTGTTGGCCGACATCTTCATCTCTCAATTCGCTTGTCGTCTCCGATGTCACCGGTACCTGATTGACCTTGATTGATCATCGAAAAATTCGAAATGTTTAGTTGATAGGGAGCTCGCTAGCTCGCGGTCCAAGGTTTGGTGAAAATGCGCGATCGTGCACGAAATGAAAAGTGCTCTTCTCCTGAGCTAATATGCTCTCGGGTGGGGCCCGCTGAGGGGTGCCGGGGGTAACAATGCCCCAAAGGCCTACTACCCCAGCTTATTGAATTTGATGAATGTGATGAGTGCATGGGACGAGCAAGGACTCATAACCTGATAGAAAGCTAGGAGAAGATAGAGAGAATAATACAGTTGTATTGAAGTGCTAACTCTTGTAGATGAAGGGGAAAAGAAGGAGAGGGAGAGGAGACTATCTAATGGTGCCGGACCCATCGTACGGTGGAAAGAAGACGTTTATTGTCCTTGGATGTCGTGTATGTCACTGGTCTTCGCGGGAGTATCATAGTTCTGGGTGGCGTTTCTTGGGCCCTCTTGGTTGTCAGGGGTCTTTGTTAGAACCTATAGGCAAGTAAATGAAGTCACAATGTAGTAATATTGATAGTTGTAAAGTACATGGAGGAAAGAGAGATCTAGACCACTACTATGGGGCCAGATTGGGTGACCATGAGCGATATCAAACAGTCTTCCAGGTTCTTTATGAAGCCTCCAATGTTGTTTAGTAGCCAACCCATCTACATATTAGCGGCATCCTTGGACTTATAGTACAAGAAGATTTCGTTTTTAGTGATTTTTTTTTCTTCTAGGTAGCTCTCTAGCCTCTTGTACTCTTAACCTTCGACTAACGCATAGTCCTCATCGGCTCCTTAACCTTCTTTTGGGGGTTTTTCATAATGAAAAAGAATCTAGCTCTTGGTGAAAGCTAAGATGAGAGTTATGATGAGAACTGAGACTTTCAGATTAACGATAAAGAAAGTAACGCTTCGATGCTCAGAGGTGTTCTGGTGCGAGGCGTCGCTTGACTACCCTCTCGTACACGTGAAGATATCGCATGCTTGGTTCAGTTCTCGATGGCCCCATACTTGTTGGTCCCCTCTCCAGCCGTCGCTTCCTCGTTGTTGGGGTGGCCCTGTGCCTGCTTGCCGCGAGGAGTCCCATTTCCCTTAACCTTGGTCCCGTGTTTTTGTTGAAGTCGAATGAACCATATGCGACATGCGGCCTTGGAGATTCCAAGGGACTTGGAAGCAGTGCCGTGATCCACTTATAGTAAGGTCTCGGTTAGCATAATCTTTAGTCCAGCCGTTATCTAAAAGTAGCAGATAACCAACCTTCACATTTTCGAGAAGGGTCATCATGTAACAGATAATGTTGGAGGGTAATAATCAGTAGATCCTTCAAACGAAAGCTGAAAGAAGCAGGCAGGGGATGTATGGAGAGAGGGAGGAGAGAAGAAGTAGAAGAGAGGAGGTAATTAGGAGTCAAGATTTTCAACCAAAAGTTGCTGCCACGAGAAGTAGGCATACGAGAGCTGGCGTGTAGATCTCCCAATTTGATGAGACAGTAAGGGACGTGTACTACAAATAACCTAGCTCTCAGATCAGATCTGATGCCCAAGTAAGGCTAAATTATTCCACAATATAGGCCAAGCAATGCTGATATCGTTGGAATGAACTGATCACAATGAAGACGCTAAAAGCAACACACTTAAACCAATTGTCAATATCACTCTATCAGATTCTGCTCAAACTGACTTTACATCATTTATAATCTGATATGGACGTACCTCACGGAGATGTTGATTGATGGGTAGATTCTTCGAGTGGGATTCGAATGCTTTTCCTTTTGCTGTATAAGGCTAAGCACAAGAACCCTGTATCTCAAAGAGCCACCTGCCACTTTAGATCAAGCAAGCTCTTTCCCCTTGTCCTTCGACTTCTTGATTGCTAGAACCATGGTCCTCGTAGCTCTGGGATAACCTTTCCGCTAGCCAGGTCTTTAGAATCGGCTTAAAGTCGGTTCCGTGTGGATATTGAACTCAGAAATCGACAATGAGTAGGAAGCTAATTCAACAAACGTTTCAGTCAACCAACATACAAGATCTGTTTCATGAGCATGTATGTGTATGTCAACAGTTAGTCGTATCTGGTGCTCAGTTTCCGGCTGATACCCCTGCCCTCAGAATTCGGGCACGCAGTGGTAACTTCACCTGTCACTTGAAGAGGGGTCATGTGCTCTTATGGAGTGCCATTTAGGAAGCTCTCTTGTTGGCAAACCAATGCTCTCATCTTCTTCGCCAATAGGCTCACTTGTATGCGAGGGGTATCATACTGCTTTGTTTATGCCAAGAGCTTTGGGTGCCGCCCTGTGGTCGATCCAGTTGTACTAGGAAACCTTGGTCAATATAAATTAATGTCCAAAAGCAACCACCCAGTGAGTGAGGGAATACTGACCACAGCACTACTATATTTGATAGCCACGAAAAGGAGGATTCTGTGCTTAGCAAATGCCTCCCTGGTATGGGCTATGGCTTTCGCTAGTTTCTTTCCTTTCTTCAAAATCAGATATATGAATAAATAGCAGAAAGTCAAGGCTCTGAGTAAAAGAGATGTGGCGAGTAATAGAGAGAGGTGAGGCGAAGAAATAGAAAGGGTTCCGGGCATTTGTATATCTGCGCTTTGAGGAAGCACGCCCCGGGTAAATGTAAGACTTTCTCCGTCAGATAGACTTGCTGAGAATAGCCATATAGGGACTCAATAGCAGATAAATATATAAGAACAGTAGGTTATAGTCGCACAGAAAGAGTAAAGTAAGGGGACCAGTGATCTTGCATCTCACAGGAATAGAAGGGGGACTCTGAACTTGAGAGGTATAGAGGCGGAAAGAAGAAAGGAGGGTAATTACTGAGTCTACTTATCAAGTGGCAATAGCCAAAATTTCTGGTATTCAGGGGAGCCGGAAGGAACCATGGAATCCTCATTGCTGGCCTTAGCACCTTTGCTGGAGCCTTGACAGGCTCTTTGCCTTTGGCCTTTGGGGTTACAGGATCCATGGCGAAGGTTTATTCGTTGTTTGAGACAGTGAGGTTATGAAGAAAGGCACGATTCTCCTCTTGAGCTTAGGGTGAGAACGAGCACAGCACAGCGAGGGATTCCTTGCAATGCTATCAGGGTCAAAGAAACCAGCTCAACCACACACCTACCCAAACAAAGTGTCCGAGGAAATGGCACTCGAGGCAGTGTGTTTCAACTTTGACTTTAGACTGCATCGTTCGAGGAGGGTAGGGATCAATTTGACGTTATCGATACAGACAGGGCCCGGGTTGGATACAGGGACATAGTCAAATATGCACACCCTGATCCAAGGAGGTCGCTCTCGTGTCATAGCCACGGTGATCTAGAGAAATCCAAATTTGATATAGGGCAAGATCCGACAACAAATATGTCAGCCGCCACCAAAGACAAAAGGAGAGCCCACTGACTTTGTTAGATATTGCCTAGCTTCCATAATTTTGAGGGCCATGCTAAACCATTTCATTTCATCAGCCTGACGCAGATGTAGCCTTTTCTTCGTGATATCAACACTGAGACAGATCTTTAATAGGAACAAGAGAGGCATGGAATCATAGGGTAAAGCTCTCGGCCAATTATGAATCTATTCAATAACCAAGTTGATGAGTGAAGACTCACTAAGAAATGAAGAAAAAGAAAGAGGAGAGCTGAGTCTGTTAAAGGCAAACTGACTCAATGAAGACCTGATCTGTCAGGCATCAATGAGGGACAAACATCTATTGACGAAATAAGAAAATCGATCCTGAAAAGCATTTGTGGATTGCCCCAATTTGCTGTGTCTCGCGACATTGGGTGAATCGCGGTCAACTGTTGGGGTTCTGTGTGTTACCATCTTCTGGGCCACCTAGCCGGATATTGATGAACTACGACGCTGCAAATTTACACGTAGATCTAACCTTGGGGGAGTCAGAAGTAAGAGAATTGTGAAGTGAGAGTAAGGACTCTCTTTCGTTGTTGCATATCACCCCCCCCCCTTCCTCCTTTGAATCAAAACTTAATGCCACAGCTGTGGCCATTGTATTCCCGGAATCTCAGTCTCAGTTCTCGGTGGTATTATCGTTGGTGGCCTCCTCTCCGGCCGTCTCTTCCTCGTTGTTTGAGGAGGCCTTTTCTTTCTTGCCCCGTGGGGTTCCCTTTCCTTTGATCTTCAACCCGTATTTTTGTCGAAGGCGGACAAGTCGCATCCGGCATGCAGCCTTGGAGATTCCAAGGGACTTGGAGGCAGCCCCGTGATCCACCTGTAGTGAGGTCTCGGTTAGTATAATCTTTAGTCCACGCGTTATCTATAGAGTAGCAGATAACCAACCTTCACATTTTCAAGGAGGGTCAACAAAAATTCTTCGTCAGTAGCCTTCTTCACATTCAGCTTGAGCTGAGCCTTAGAAGGCTGCTCGGTCTTTGCCTCCGAAGTGACAGGTGCCATGGCAAAGGTTTGCTCGCTGGTGAGGTGTTTTATTTGAGCTGAAAAGCTTCGAGGGTTGGATGGTGTTTGGACGGGAAGCCCAATGATGTTTATGTCGGATTAAAACCCAATTATGGTATGATGGTATGTGTATGAGAGAAGAAAGGAACAGAGAGGAACTAAAATCTGGAGGGGCCTTGACCTTTATACCTCTAGATTTTGGAGCAAAAGCGCGGGGATCAATATAACGAGCACTGGTTTGTAGGTACCGTACCAATGCAATATATTACCCAATATGGTACATATTAGAGCCCCGAGGAACAATCGAACGATTGTCACTACCTGTATCTCAAATACGCAAGCAAAAATACTCCGTTTAGAACCTATAGCAGCCCATCATAACTTCTCGAGACACTGACCCTGTTGGGGACTTGTCTGAAGCCAAGCTTCACTCTCTACCGCCGGCATGACATCGGAGGTGACAGGTCCTTTCTCTGTACATTGAGTGCATAGGCTAACCTTAATTCCACTTTGCAGTTACATTCCCACTCGTCCTACTCTAGAACCCTCGTCTCTTCGAACTTAACATTGCGAATAGGCCATCAAGACGCAAAGAGAACACGGATAGCCCCAGAGATCATGTTTTAAGGTGATTAGTGCATATACGATGGGTTGAAATCTCTTGAATGGTTATAGAGCTCAACCCAGCAACTCTGAGCCGACAATAAATGATAAAGGCACCCGGTTCTTTGCCGCTCCCCCTCTTCACTGCTAGCTAGACCTTAATTTTCCTTCCAATAACATGCTTACCTTCAACATGTTTGTTAGACTCCGTGATTTGGGGGTCGGAGTCACGATCAGCTCGCAGTAACTCCAGTGCGTCGAGAGAGACTTCAACACGACGACAACATATGGATGGACGATCTTAGGTATCTCATATCCTTAAGTGCCTGAAGAACACGTGGATCGCATCTCTACTCGGGACTACAGACAGATCTTGCTTCTAATCAACTCTGGAACTGTGACAGATCGGTTATTTAGGAGACTATAGTTGACAGGGTGTGACCACATGTGAAGTTTCGATACGAGTCAGACGACAGTAGAAATGCAGTATCCTTCAGATTTCTAGGCACTGATAGTTCACCAGGAAAATACAGAAATATATATATGAATGAAGTTTCAGCCATGTATCCGTCATGTACCATTCATATGCCGGGTCACTTCTAAGTCTGAGGCTCTTGCATTGCATCCCCACATGTGCCCCACTTTAAACCTTAATTCCAGATGTCATCCACGGATACTCCTAATACAATCAGAATATACACAAATGAGACATGAACAAGGGGGGGGGATTGAGACAAACGTAAACCCAGTAAAAAACAGTGGTCAAAGCTGAGAACAACCGGAAGAAATAGATAAGTAAACAATGGTCAAGACCGAGAACGAACGACAAACCAAGGCTATCTAGGTGCATCAAACAAAAGAGCAAAAATGAGAAAATGCCCTTGGGCGTTAGCTCATAATTCCAGGTAGCTAACGCCAAAGGGCATGGAATATACAGAAATGGGTATGTACAACAGAGAGGTCCCCAACCAAGCTAATAAAGTCGATATTTTTATTTCATACAATGTACATCTAGTGCTAATTAGCTTCCAAATATGCGCCCATAGTTCATCAGAAAGGATGTGGTATTTGTTGGTCACTACCAAAGGACACGTAATTTTGCCATCGATATTTGTAGAACCGGCGTGCAAGGCGTGCTTATTACAACATCGAAATCACAATGATACAAACGATCGACCACAAGTCGATAGGAAGGGGAAAGGGACACACTTGTATGGAGTATGCTAAAGAAGACGATGATTTGTTTGGATAGACAAAGCATCTCGGGTGACTTTTCGAGTAACTTGATCATAGGCAGAGTGTAATTATATGATAATGGATAGACAAGTCCAGTATAGCAGACTAAATTTACACACTGTGGCTGGGCCATATAAGTGGTGGGGATGGTGAATAAATGGTGATAAACTTGGAGGTTTTCTAATAGCCAAGCCAAACTAAAAGCACATAAGATTTTTATTTTCATCGGGTTATTTAAATACATACAATCCTATAATTTGCGCATCGCCCTACCTAATAGTCTTGTAAGGTTATCTCAAAATTTAGTACAAATCCAGGGTAAATTATAGTATCGTTGTATGGGAATAGATTATGAGGTCTCTTGTAGTACTATATACCACAGGCTCATCTCTTTCTTGCTGAATTCTTGACTACTCTTGATATGAATCAGGTAAAGAGAGTGAGCTTGGCCTCATTTTCTCGCGGGGCATATTTAAGACACAAATTCGATGGCCGTAGACGTAGCTAGAAATCAGTATATACCTAGTATCTTTTGTAGAAACATGATAGTATGTATTAACGATGTCTGTCAGTCTATATGTGGTATACCTTGCTATAAGCCTTGATTAATACATAATAAACTTAAGAATTGAGAAGAGAAATTTAGTAGGGAACTTGGGAGGTGGCTGCTCTTCTCATAATCCCCGAAAGCGTTACAAATTACACCCAAATCCACTTGTGCTTGTGGGTATAAAGCCAAGCAAGCTCTCATCCATACGGGCTTTCCAATGTAATTAGTGGTTTGGGAATGGTGATTGACTCGAAATCAATTCGGTTCACTGGCTCCGAATCATACAGCCGTCGCTTTTAGCATTTTAGTTAACGGATTTATCTTTTTGATACAGAAACATCAACAGAATGCTAGAACCTAGTACATATAAACAATAATGTGTTGTAAAAAATGGATTGTCGGGTTAGTTAGTAAGAGAAATACCTGTAGATATCCATGGATAACGCCACTTACGACTCCTTGAGAAACCCACTCCGAGTCAATCTAACGTTATGAATGTCAGGAGGTACTAAAGAGCATTAAAAATAACAAAGAGATGAGATCGTCACCTATAAAACTCTACTATGCGCATCAATGTAACAGCTAGTTATCAGCAGATACCGTAGTATAGTATACCGTTCAAGGATGCCGATTTCCCCATGGGGCAAAACTCGGGGTAGTAGTATGAGTAAGTCTGTTTCTGGAGTAACCTACAATTAGAGACATAAAGTTTGTTGGAGTACTATAGCTAGATTGTCTCGGGCCGATTTTCGGCTGAGATATTTGGCCCTAATGTCAGGAGCATGTAGTCTACTATTCGAAGCATTAACACTAAAAAGTATCAATATCTCAAACGAGTGTGTATTCCAAGGTGGAAGTAAGGAATAAATTTAAATATTGAAACTGACAAAAGAGCCTGCGCGTAATTCATAAATGATAAATCGTCTCGCAGACCCGAATCTAACGAAAGAAAAACTTTCCATCCAATCTATCACATGGCCCGTAGCCCATATATCCTGTATAATATACAGTACTGGGCACTTGAGTCAATCAATCCCAATACATCGAATCCTCACCCCGCTGTACAATATGTACAAGGCGCGAAAGACGTCTTGGGTGTGACATCAAATATCAATTCATATCACAAGCCCAATACTGATTTCAGCGCAGCAGTATATGGCGAGGCGTCATCCATCCGCTCAGCTACTCAGTATTTACTGAGGGGAGGGGGTGGGAGGAGGTCCAGTGGGAGTGGGGAAGCCAGTGGGGAACCCCTGGAGCTTCTCGAAGGGAATGGAGGAGGGCAGGTCGGTAGGGAACCCGGAGGGGAAGGCATCCAGGATTCCACTGGGGATGGGGAAGGGGAGGTCCGTGGGGATCTGGCGCTTCTCAAATCCGCTGGGGAATCCGCTGGGGAATCCACTGGGAATGCCACTGGGAACGCCACTGGGGAAGCCACTGGGGAATCCCGAGGGAGGAGGACCAGTGGGAGTTGGGAAGCCGCTCTGAGGAGGACCATCGAAGGGAGGGCCCTGGTGGTCGGGTCCGTTGGGGAACTCGCGCTTCTGGAAGGGGAGACCAGTGGGCGCGGGGAAGCCGCTAGGGAAGCCACTGGGGGACTCAGTGGGGAAACCACTGGGAATGCCACTGGGGAAGCCACTGGGGAAGCCACTAGGGAATCCCGAGGGAGGAGGACCAGTGGGAGTTGGGAAGCCACTCTGAGGACCATCGAAGGGAGGGCCCTGGTGGTCGGGTCCGTTGTGGAACTCGCGCTTCTCGAAGGGGAGACCAGTGGGTGCGGGGAAGCCGCTGGGGAAGCCACTGGGAATGCCACTGGGGAAGCCCGAGGGAGGAGGACCAGTGGGAGTTGGGAAGCCGCTAGGAGGAGGGCCATCGGGGAACTGGCGCTTGTCGATGGGGAAGTCCGTGGGAATACCGGTGGGAGCGCCGCTGGGAGTACCGCTGGGGAAGGCGCTGGATGGGGTGGGCGCGTCACTGGGGGCGCCGGAGAAAGGAGGGGGGCCCTGGGGCAGCTCGCCAATGAAGGGAGGAGGACCCTGGGGCAGGGCGAGGGCGCAGCCCATCATTCCCATAGCAGCGATGCCGGTGTACTTCATTGTAAATGGTATGGATTAATTGGAAAATATAATGTAAAGAATGGAGTGATTTGGACGAAAGTCAGACACAAATATATGAGTAGTATATCAAAGACAGATCTTGTATGGAGTAATTTAGAGAAAAATCTCGAAGGGCCTGGGGCGGGTTTATAAGGCTGGAGATTTATCAAGCTTGCTGATCTGGGAGCTTGGTCCTCACGAAGTGGACTCCGTGATCGCGCCATGACTTCAGTCTGGTTGCCTCATCAGAGGCTGGGCAGGCCGGAAGGTGGACTGGCCGGACGACGATAGTACCTTGAAACGGTAAAGGTGGATGTGTCGATCTTAACTTGGAGGACCTTAGGGTCGTCCGGGACCATACACAAAGTACTCGTGGATAGGCAGAGGTGCATGGCCTGGGGCTGAGGTATTTTCCGTCAATCCTTCGCTGGGGCATCAAAAAAAGGTAAAAAATTGGTTCTGGTACGTTCGACGAGGCAAGTATCGACGGTACGGTTGAGCTACAGACGCCACAGCCAGGTACCAAACAATAGTGCGACGATCATCTTCCGGGTGCAGAATAGCATAAAAGGCAAATCGGTGATTGTCGGGATGTTCTGACCGTATCAAATGCTTCATCTCAAAGCGTTCCTACCTGACAGGGTCGCAACCTGGCACGGCCGAGAGCGAAGCTAGTTCTTACTCGGCTTCAGGGCGCCTAGCACAATTGACCCCTTTTTTTGGCCGTAGCACATCATGTCGGAGATGATGTGCTCGCCACTCCTTTTCCAGCGCCATCAGACTTTGTCTGGAACAAAATGGCTGGTTACTCGTTTCATGTGTATTGATTTCGCCACGGCTTGCGTAGCAGGAAGGCTGATACACAGCCTGTGTGAGGATGTGATGGTTGTCCACAGACGAGGGTGGGCTCAAGGTGGCTGCAAAGGGATGAGAGAGCCACTGATTGATAAGTGAGGACCAATTGTTACGTCCTGATCGTCGAATAGGACCACTTTTGTGCCCGTATTTTCTGAGTTGGGAACATTTACTCCGTAGGCTGGTTTTGGATCCGCAATGGAGACACTCAGAATATGATACCCCGTAGTCTCCCCAAGGTTGAGCTGTGGTATAATCCACTGAAACAGGAGATACTTCCACTGAAACACAGAAAGTATCCCCTGTTTCTACTCTGTACAGAAGTTCGAGAACATCGAGATACAGGCCTCAATCTTGGAAATGGCCTGGAACATTAGGTGATGGCCGAGTCGTCGTCAGCCCTGGGGTCTAGCTGGCCCACAGTGGACCCCGTGACATAGAATCGACGTTGGTAGTGGACACTTCCACTTTGCCCTTAAAACACCTGCAGCATGGACATCACGATAAAATATGGACCTGTTTCGTGTTTAGCTTCAATCCATCGGCATATTGACGGGTATTAACATCCATGGATGGCATAGACACGTGTACGGGGTAGGTAACCCCTATACCCATGACCCATCAATGTTCACTGCCGATTGTTTCCTGATGTTAATTTGCCTCTGTACTCCACTAGCTTCTCTCTAGTTCGCTGTACACTAAGGGCGCCAAGCTTCCTTTGTGACTAGTAGTATTAAGCTCACTCAGCGGCATGCTCTCGGGACTTGAGATGGGAAAACAGCTTAGTTTCAGGGATATTAGCACCGACTGTGGAGCCTGTGTCAACCCTTAAATGTAGAATAATATATCCTTATGTAACTTAAAAATGACAAGCTGCTTAAAGGTCTAAACCCAAATTCCATTTCATCTTAGGATTCAACGCCCCACGGTGTGTACGTGGAAAACTTCCCCACTATATACAGAAAACCGCCGTATGCATGTCATATGTTGTAGATAGCAAAAAAAACGAGGCGGAAAGTGAAAGAAAAAAAAAAAGCAAACTCCGCGAATCCTGCGGGTTGGATATTCCGAAAACAGAACCCCAAGGAGGGATACACAAGAAATAATAGAAATAATCTAGTATGAGGACTTCCGATTGAAAAGACAAACAGAGAAAATATAACCTAGCCAAGAGATGCAGTGGATGCTTAGGCCGCAGGTATACAGGATCACAGAGTCCGCAAAGATCAAAAAGCCTTCTGGTCCGAGTGTCTTACATCGTGCGGAGTACGGGGGCATGAAATTAGTTTGATTTGAGGGGCAAGCTTATATGTGTCAAGGGGGCCGGCGTCTGCGACCCTCGACTCCTGAGGAAGTGAGAATGGAGTATGAAACACAATTGGTCGTATATTCCTCAATAGCGCGGGTTGCGCATTAGGGGGTCAGGCGAGCTCGGGTGGACTGTTGGCGTTGGAGTCATACTGAGCAAATGGCGGGAGGAAGGTGGCACGGTCATGGAGAGATCGCGAGCCGACGGCGCATACGCCTGCTTTGGGGAACTGTGACGAGCCGTAACGGAAGAATTGTAGGCCGAACCAGAAGAGAATGAGGATCGTCGGGACCGAACGGGGCTACGAGGTCCGTGACTCGCAGGTACTCCACCGAATGAAGATGAATCCGAAGATGCTCGGTGGCCTGCAAGTTTGGGACGTAGGATGTACGATCGTTCGAGCTCATCGTCACTGCTTGAACCGATGTCGAATATTGCTCCGTTGAAGGATATTGAGGATGTGCGGCGGTGGGTCCTTGCTTGGGTCGACATGAGGATTGACTCACTCGACTGCGAGAGAGGTGGATTCTCCAGTGAAACAGTGCTTCGTGCCTTTCTCAGCTCCCGGTTCGGTTGATGTCGTGCTTGTCCGCCAGAGTGCCTCTTTTCCAGCTCGGGGCTGTGGGATCCTCTTCGTCTGTCGCGATAACGTCCCCTTCCACTGCTGTCTGCCGAGTCAATAGAGTGACGACTACGGTTTGGCATGCGTAGATCAACCTGGCTCGGACTGAAGGCTACCCGGGCCCGCATATTTTGAATGGCATTATCAAGTGCCAGCTCAATGGCGCAGTGGTTTCGGATGCGGCTTAATCTCGGCCATGTCGCCCGCTCGCCACTCAGGCATGCTGACAGCATGAATTCCGTTGTCGGATTCTCCAGGAGCCGTGGAAAGTTGGAGGAAATGAGTTCCGGGTATATGTTGATGTCTCCATGATATTTCTGGTTTACGATAGAGGCAAACTTGGTCATTGATGTTGGGAAGATCCCAAGCTCCGAGAGCACGTTCATCCGATGTAGCACCTCGTCTTTGGCAAGGTGTGTCATTGTGTTCATCCATCGAGGGATGAATGAAGGGCCGCCATTTGTTTCATCCTGTGGGCCTGTTTCTTTTGGAAGGAAAGGTACCACATGTGGGTTCACCTGAGAGACAATGAAATGATTCACGTTAAACATCTCTGATAACCGTGTCATGGGCAGATCTCCATCAACAGAGCCATCGATATACTGTTTGTGAAGATCATTCCACGGCACCGGTTCTCCTGTCAACGGATCTTTAGCCATCAACGTGAATGGCCTAAAGACAAAGGGAACAGAGCATGATACCGCCCTTGAGAGACGTCAGAAACGTGTTGAGAGGAAGAAAAGGGGGAACTTACACAGCAGACCAGATCAACACATTGGGCGCAGAAATATAGTTCAACAGTCGTGGAAGCTCATACATGCCGGCACTCGATACACAGATGTTCAAGATTCTGCGAGTGCGGTTATATGCTTCCTGGAAGGTCATATCTCCCAGCCAATTCCTGATAGTCTTCGCCAAGTGGGATATGTCAAGAAATGATCCAAACTTCAAAAAACGAGTCATCTTCTGCAGGATATTTTCCTCCTGGCCCTTCTCATTGAAGACATCAAAATCCCCATGTACGTAGGTGTCCAAAAGCGCCGGCAGTTCTTCATCTGTGCGCGTGCAAAAGACCGCGCAAACAATGCTACCAGCAGAGGCACCTGAGATAATCCGCGGGATCATGTTTGCCTCATACAGAGCCTTGAGAACCCCGATATGGGTCATGCCAAAAGTGGCACCGCCGGAAAAGAGGAGTGCACTGCGACCGAATGCCTGCCGAGCTGCCAGCAGCTGGTCCAGGATATACTTCAGCTCCAGTCCATCGCAGCGATCATGTACCGACAAATCTACGAGTGTGGCGATGGTCGCTAAAGCCGTGGTAATATACCTATCAATCAAGTCCTTGGTGCCGATATGCGAATGGCGATAGAGAGAGGCATTGCTCATATGCGCCAAGTCCCGACTCAGCGCAGTGCGCACCAGAAACAGCATTCGGCTTACGTCGCAGCTGATCCGAGCATCTTCCAATTGTCGCAATCGATCCTGTACCAAGCGAGGATCATATTCGGTGGACTCGAGCGTCTGCTTCCAGGAATTGTTGTCCTCTAGTTCATCCAGCTCAATGGCGCAACTTCGCCATTCCTCGTACGACACAGCCTGCAGCCCAAGGGTTAGAAAGGGTCACTCTGCAGATGCGTTCGCCCCTCACAGGTTCACCGATTGTACTGACATTCTTTATTTTCAAATATAGGACTTGTTTGCGGTCCTCGATTTCCGCCCTTTGTTTCCGCTGTTCCTTGGAGAGGCCATCGCGGTAGGTGTGCAGAGTATCACCGGCCCAATTCCACGAATCCTTCACGAGTGACGATACAGCTGGGATGGAGATTGTTTTGCGGAGGGGCCGCGGAGGTGGTTGGGATAAGGGGTGTTCTTGGGAGTGTTTGCGCCCATGATGGCACTGAACTATTGTGGGGTCGCCCAATACCGACATGGCAGGCCTGTGCATTGGGGAAGCAAGCCATCAGCCGGGGTATGAAATGCGGAGATCTGTTAACTCTAATAAAGCTGGTATAAAAAAGAAAGTAAATGAGTTGTAAAAAGTAGAGATTCTACAAATTCAAGTCAAGTTTGGCGGTGACCTAACAAACGTCACGAGGGCCAATGGAAGCCAGTTTCCTCAGGCTCTTTGGGCTGACCACTTTTTGGTTCCTTTTTATGACGATTTCACTATTCCTCAAATACTACTGGACTTTAGTACTCCAAGTGGAGATG